TGCTACCCTGCGAGCGTTCGGTGCCTTGTGACATGTTTACAGATTCCAGGTTTTTAGAAATGACACTTCCGTATTTTAGGGAATATCAGAACGTGTTGTCATTGTTACTTAAATAAACGGCGGTGTTACACTGGCATTCTTTCGTGGATTTTTTTGGCAACTTTCAGATAATCGTCAAACTTTCTGTCGTGCACCGTCATACTTGCGTTTAGAACCAACTAGCAAGATTCCTCGTTCGACAACTGTCAACGAACAAGATGGACCCAACTGACTAAGAAAGCGCAGCAATTCTACGTCTGTTTTTGGTGTATAAAGAGTCATGATGATCCCTGAGACAGCGGCGCTGCGTTATCCGGTCCACCAAGAACTCCTCGAAGAGGCATGTCCAACTGTCCATACTTGGGAAATTATTTTACCCGTTGGCTCCGTCATGTTGTTATTATTCCCGCGTGGTCAAAATGTAAACAATAAATGACATTTTCTTACCTTTTTAAAATCACGAAATTAAACATAATAATGAGTCATGTTGGGAAGAAGCGTAATAATTACTTCATGATACTTTTAGCTTTATACTTTAAGTAAAAATTAGATTATTTTTTAAGCTATATGTAGTATCAATTATAGATCTTGAGTTGACTCCGTAAGTTGTCGTACGAGTCGTCAGTGCAGACGGTCTGCACTTTTTGACAACGTCGACGATTCGGTGAAAAATCGACGATTAATGGAAAAGTTGACAATAGAAATGCTAGTGTGCCGCCGCCTTTATGGCACTCTCCTGATACTCCATAACACACCCTGACACTCCCTGATACTCCAGGGCGTGAACCAACATCCCTTAGGACAGGTGGTGAGTTTTTTATCCACAATAGCCACCTGATTCACTTAAATAACTAAAACTATAACTAACGAGATCTAAAACATCCAAAAAGAGGTTAGGTTAATGTTAAGTAAGGTTAGGCTAGGCTAGGTTAATGTTAGGTTTGGTTAATGTGAGGTTAGGTTAATGTTAAGTAAGGTTAGGCTAGGCTAGGTTAATGTTAGGTTTGGTTATGTTACGGTTTGGTTTGGTTAGCATAAAAGTGCGTCCACACGTGCGTACAATTTGTCGTCAACATGTGATCGACAAGACGAAATGGGACCCAGGGTTCAGACTCGGGTAGGGTGCGGCCGCGTGTACTAGATCAGTGTTGCCTCTTGTTGATCACATGTTGACGACAAATTGTACGCACGTGTGAACGCACCTTTAGGTTCGTGTTGGATCAACGTTAAGTTAGTCTTAGGTTAGTCTTAGGTTACACTATGGCGATTTTTATTGCATATTTTTTTCTCTGACAATTTCTAAGAAAAATAAAATTAACTCCAGACACCACAAAGTTCCCCTTACTGCCGACATCCTCAAAGAAACATGGTCCACACACAGTAATACTCCGCTGGGTTCCTTGAGACTCGCTTTAGTGCTCGTGTAGCTAAGTGTTATCGACCCCCCCCCTCCCTCCCTCCCTTGAAGCTCTCTCAGTGATGTTATTATGGTGCAACACATCCTACCTGTTGACGACGATGATTCTGTTGTCACTCTGAGCTCCGGCGCTATATGGGTGACGCAGAACCTGCCGTAACTAATAATGGAGCACGACGAAGAACACGAAATATATCACGCAAAGATAGAAGTCTCCTCCCTGCTCTCTCATTGGTCCAGAGCCTCGGTGGGACCTGTATATAATGGTGATAGGCTCAACTAGTCATCATCATCTACCCAGCCACAACTGCTTACAGTCTTAGTGGGGTTCTGATACTAGTGTAAGTTATCAGGTGGCTCCTATATTTTTTAAGTAGTTCAAAGTGTTCTACCCGAATTATAAATAGTCTTTAACAAGATGATTATATCCATACAATCATATACCAAGTGTGAGTTATCTCCCTTCCCCCGTGTTAACGATCCACCTCTTAAAGGGGTTCACAGCTTTCCATTAGACTTAGCACAGGGCGCAGATCTCCCCCAAGTCCTCAGACGACTCGATAACAGTCAGGATCCGATTAACAGCATCATTCCCCAACGTAGGACTGTGGCAGTTTAACACCATGAGTTGGCATTTAACTTGGAAAATTCAGGACGTTTAGGGAAGTATCGGTTCGATTTTTATTGATTGCGCCAGACACGGCGTCCAGTATTACAATGCTACAGTAACTCAACCTAGACATTAAACAGCCCTGTACTGTACTGTTGGACCAATATGTGAATATTATCGAATAACTGTACAACCAAAGTAAGTTACCTGATTTACTACTCCAGCTGTACCTCTTCACTGAGTTATCCTTGACCGTCAGAGTTTTAGCTACTTATATAAAGTCATGTGTCGCGTCTCCCCCCAATGGAAACCAAAGAATATGTTAGTCACAGTTAGTGGATAAGAACCAAGCTTCTTCTATCAAACATATACACGAATGATGAGTTCAGGAAAAGGTTTAGTGTATGAATATTTCCCTTTTCCTGTCAAAGTTTTCAGTACCTTAACTCCTGTGGTAGACGATCGGTATCACCAATTGTATACACATTTTACAGAGATGTTGAAGAGGGAAGTTATTTCATCAACACAGGAAGCAGAATCAGCATAAATTAGACAAAATCCAACTGGAGTAACGTCACTAGTGGCCTATCCCAAGGCTCAGCATTTGAACCGTTAGTATTTATTAAATACATTAACAACATAGATATAGGCGTTGACAGCAACATAAATAAATTTGCTGACGACGCAAAAATAGGGCGCATAAACCTGATGAGGACTCCGAAACAATACAGAAAAACCTAAACAAACTTTTAGTATGCACTGAAAAATGGCAGATGCAATTTAATGTGAAATAATGTAAAGTTCTAATGCTCGGGAATGTCAACAAGGGAACCAGCTAGATATAGAGAAATCCAAAATGTGAGGAAAATTAAGGAGTGATGATGAGCAGAGACCTAAATCCTAGACAGCAATGTGTTTATGTTCGAAATACAGCTAAGTACTAGGGTTCATATCTAGGAACGTCAGTAACCGAAGAAGCGAAGTTGTCTTACGAGAACACATTTTTTCTTTTTTGAGTATTGGAGATCGTACTTGGGTTGTGCAGTTCAGATTTGATCATCTTACTACAGAAAGGACATTGATTACTTAGAAAATATTCAGAAAAGGATGACAAAATTAATACCGGGCATTAGGAACCTTGAGTATAAAGACGAATTATGAAAACTGAATTTGGATTCCCTTGAAAGACGTAGAGTGAGGGACGATATGATCGAAGTGTATTAATGGAAAGTCGGGGTTAAATAAAGGTGAAGTAACTCAGATGCTTAAACTATAGAATATGGAGGAACACGTAGTAATGGTTTAAAAAAGACAAAGTTAGATTTAGGCGGGAATTAGGTAAATATTGGTTTGGAAATCACCAGACACCATCAGTTAATGGAATTCATTGGAAGGCTTAAATATTAGGTTGGCATAGATATAGGAGTGAAGGGGATGGGTTTGCCTCTTATGGACCAAGAAGCCCCCTGCACTTTCCTTCGTTCCAATGTTCTTAACACGTCAGTTAGCTAATAGACTGAGCGCGTATCACTACACAACACTCATGATACAGTGAGGGCAACACCTGAAGCAGAGTTCCCCGAGCAAAGTTCAGTTGTAGAATTATGAAACAGAACGAATGACTGAAAATGAATGTATGCAGAAGAAACAGGCGGACGAATCAACGAATAATGCAAGAAAAACAAGCGATCTCCTCTTCCTACACTCTCTCCTTCACTTACTGCTCTTCCTACACCCTCTCCTTCACTTACTGCTCTTCCTACACTCTCTCCCTCACTTACTGCTCTTCCTACACCCTCTCCTTGTCTTACTGCTCTTCCTACACCCTCACCCTCACTTACTGCTCTTCCTACACTCTCTCCCTCACTTACTGCTCTTCCTACACTCTCTCCCTCACTTACTGCTCTTCCTACACTCTCTCCCTCACTTACTGCTCTTCCTACACCCTCTCCCACACTTACTGCTCTTCCTACACCCTCTCCTTCACTTACTGCTCTTCCTACACTCTCTCCCACACTTACTGCTCTTCCTCTCTCCCTCTTACTGCTCTTCCCTACACCCCTCTCCCCTCACCCCTGCTCTTCCTACACCCTCTCCCTCACTTACTGCTCTTCCTACACCCTCTCCCTCACTTACTGCTCTTCCTACACCCTCTCCCTCACTTACTGCTCTTCCTACACCCTCTCCTTCACTTACTGCTCTTCCTACACCCTCTCCTTCACTTACTGCTCTTCCTACACCCTCTCCTTCACTTACTGCTCTTCCTACACCCTCTCCCTCACTTACTGCTCTTCCTACACCCTCTCCCTCACTTACTGCTCTTCCTACACCCTCTCCCTCACTTACTGCTCTTCCTACACCCTCTCCTTCACTTACTGCTCTTCCTACACCCTCTCCTTCACTTACTGCTCTTCCTACACCCTCTCCTTCACTTACTGCTCTTCCTACACCCTCTCCCTCACTTACTGCTCTTCCTACACCCTCTCCTTCACTTACTGCTCTTCCTACACCTCTCCCCTCACCTGCTCTTCCCTACACTCTCTCCCTCACTTACTGCTCTTCACTCTCTCCCTCACTTACTGCTCTTCCTACACCCTCTCCTTCACCTGCTCTTCCTCCCCTCTCCCCGCCTGCTCTTCCACTCTCTCCCCTCACTTACTGCTCTTCCTCTCTCCTCTTACTGCTCTTCCTCTCTCCCTCACTTACTGCTCTTCCTACACTCTCTCTCCCTCACCTGCTCTTCTACCTCTCTCCCTCACTTACTGCTCTTCCTACCCTCTCCCTCACTTGCCTCTTCCTACACCCTCTCCCTCTTCCTGCTCTTCCTACCCTCTCCCCTCACTTACTGCTCTTCCCTACCCTCTCCCCACTTACTGCTCTTCCTTCCCTCTCCCTCACTTACTGCTCTTCTACACTCTCTCCTTCACTTACTGCTCTTCTCACCCCTCTCCCACACTTACTTGCTCTTCCTACACCTCTCCCTCCTTACTGCTCTTCTACCCTCTCCCTCACTTCTGCTCTTCCTCCACCCTCTCCCACACACTTACTTCTTCCCACACCTCTCCCTCCTCCCTGCTCTTCCCTACCTCTCTCCCCTCCCACTTACTGCTCTTCCCCTCTCTCCTCACCTGCTCTTCTACACCCTCTCCCTCACCTGCTCTTCCCTACACCCTCTCCCTCACTTACTGCTCTTCCCACACCCTCTCCCTCTTACTGCTCTTCCTACTCTCTCCCACTTACTGCTCTTCTACACCCTCTCCTTCACTTACTGCTCTTCCTACACTCTCTCCTCACTCTGCTCTTCCACCCCTCTCCTTCACCTGCTCTTCTCACCCTCTCCCTCACTTACTGCTCTTCCTACACTCTCTCCCCTCTTACTGCTCTTCACCCTCTCCTTCACTTCTGCTCTTCCTACACTCTCTCCCACACCTTACTGCTCTTCCTACACCCTCTCCTTCCTTACTGCTCTTCACCCTCTCCCTCACCTGCTCTTCCTACCCCTCTCCCTTCACTCACTGCTCTTCCCTACACCCTCTCCCTCACCTGCTCTTCCTACACCTCTCCCTCACTGCTCTTCCTACCCTCTCCCTCACTTACTGCTCTTCCTACACCCTCTCCACACTTACTGCTTCTACACTCTCTCCTTCACTTACTGCTCTTCCTACACCCCTCTCCTCCTGCTCTTCCCTACACCCTCTCCCTCACCTGCTCTTCCTCTCTCCTTCACTTACTGCTCTCCCTACACCCTCTCCCTCACTGCTCTTCCCTACACCCTCTCCCTTCACTTACTGCTCTTCCCTACACCCTCTCCTCACTGCTCTTCCCCTCTCTCCTTCTTACTGCTCTTCCTACACCCTCTCCTTCACTTACTGCTCTTCCACCCCTCTCCTTCACCTGCTCTTCCTCACCCCTCTCCTCACCTGCTCTTCCCCCCTCTCCTTCACTCTGCTCTTCCCCACCCTCTCCCCTCACCTGCTCTTCCTACACTCTCTCCCTCACTTACTGCTCTTGTGGGGTCACATTAAAAGCAAAGTGAATGTAACAGAGGCCCTAAACCTCGAGGAATTGTGGCGCCGTGTGCAGGACAGTGTGACTACCGTTCTAAACACCCCAGGGTCTTTGAAAATGGGCGACAGTCTCTTGTGCGAGAGGGGCGGAACTTTGAACATTTGCTCTAAATGTTAATACCAGCAACAGCGGATGTTTCATATACACCCCATATAGGTTTCATTATATTCCTACCAAACCTGTCATGTGTTGTAACTCCCAAACTATTGAGATTGACAATTTGGTCATCTATTTTTTATCTTTATTTACAGAATGTCTCAGGAATACACCCACTGATTTATGAATGGTATTTACGGAACACCCTGTATAATACATTTAATTTGTTTGCATTGAATAATGTCCAAATCAATTTTATACCATTCAAGGAAAACAAACTCACTCACTCTCTCTCTCTCTCCCAGAAAGATTATTTATATATTTTTTTCTCATTATCTTACGTTTCTAGCTTATCGGAAGTAAATGTATAAAAAATCAATAGATTTGACAGTACGTAAATGAATTACTACACACACACACACACACACGCACACACACACACACACACACACACACACACACACACACACACACACACACACACACCATTTGTTAATATCTCTTATTATGCTCTGGTCACCATTGGTAACTGACGTTGGTATGTTCATTGGTTACAGTAATTGTTTCGGCTGAAAGTTGAGTTGTATCAGTTTGTCATTGAAGTGTGTATCGTGGCCGTGGGTGTGTGTCGGCTACCGTGGGGTGTGTGTCGGCTGCTCGTGGGGTGTGTGTCGGCTGGCCGTGGGGTGTGTCGGCTGGCCGTGGGTGTGTCGGCTGGGCGTGGGTGTGTGTCGGCTGGCCGTGGGGTGTGTGTCGGCTGGCCGTGGGGTGTGTGTCGGCTGGCCGTGGGGTGTGTGTCGGCTGGCCGTGGGGTGTGTGTCGGCTGGCCGTGGGGTGTGTGTCGGCTGGCCGTGGGGTGTGTGTCAGCTGGCCGTGGGGTGTGTGTCGGCTGGCCGTGGGGTGTGTGTCGGCTGGCCGTGGGGTGTGTGTGTCGGCTGGCCGTGGGGTGTGTGTCGGCTGGCCGTGGGGTGTGTGTCGGCTGGCCGTGGGGTGTGTGTCGGCTGGCCGTGGTGTGTGTCGCTGGCCGTGAGGTGTGTCGGCTGGCCGTGAGGTGTGTGTCGCTGGCCGTGGTGTGTGTCGGCTGTGTGAGGTGTGTCGGCTGGCCGTGAGTGTGTGTCGGCTGGCCGTGGTGTGTGTCGCTGGCCGTGAGTGTGTGTCGGCTGCCGTGAGGTGTGTGTCGGCTGGCCGTGGTGTGTCAGCTGGCGTGAGGTGTGTGTCGGCTGCCGTGAGGTGTGTGTCGGCTGGCCGTGGTGTGTGTCGGCTGGCCGTGAGGTGTGTGTCGCTGGCCGTGAGTGTGTGTCGGCTGGCCGTGAGGTGTGTGTCGGCTGGCCGTGAGTGTGTGTCAGCTGGCCGTGAGGGTGTGGCTGGCCGTGAGGTGTGTGTCGGCTGGCCGTGGGTGTGTCGGCTGGCCGTGAGTGTGTGTCGCTGGCCGTGGTGTGTGTCAGCTGGCCGTGAGTGTGTGTCGGCTGGCCGTGAGGTGTGTGTCGGCTGTGCGTGAGGTGTGTGTCAGCTGGCCGTGAGGTGTGTGTCGCTGGCCGTGAGGTGTGTGTCGGCTGGCCGTGAGGTGTGTGTCGCTGGCCGTGAGGTGTGTGTCGGCTGCCGTGAGGTGTGTCGGCTGGCCGTGAGGTGTGTCGGCTGGCCGTGGTGTGTGTCGGCTGGCCGTGGTGTGTGTCGGCTGGCCGTGAGGTGTGTCGGCTGGCCGTGAGGTGTGTGTCGGCTCGCCGTGAGGTGTGTGTCAGCTGGGCGTGGTGTGTGTCGGCTGGGCGTGGTGTGTGTCGGCGGCCGTGGTGTGTGTCGGCTGGCCGTGAGGTGTGTGTCGGCTGGCCGTGAGGTGTGTGTCAGCTGGCCGTGAGTGTGTCGGCTGGCCGTGGTGTGTGTCAGCTGGCCGTGAGGTGTGTCGGCTGGCCGTGAGGTGTGTGTCGCTGGCCGTGAGGTGTGTGTCGGCTGGCCGTGGTGTGTGTCGGCTGGCCGTGAGGTGTGTGTCGGCTGGCCGTGAGGTGTCGGCTGGCCGTGAGGTGTGTGTCGGCTGGCCGTGAGGTGTGTGTCGGCTGGCCGTGGTGTGTGTCGGCTGGCCGTGAGGTGTGTATCGGCTGGCCGTGGTGTTGTATCGGCTGGCCGTGAGGTGTGTATCGCTGGCCGTGAGGTGTGTATCGGCCGTGAGGTGTGTATCGGCTGGCCGTGAGGTGTGTATCGCTGGCCGTGGTGTGTATCGGCTGGCCGTGAGGTGTATCGGCTGGCCGTGAGGTGTGTATCGGCTGGCCGTGAGGTGTGTATCGGCTGGCCGTGAGGTGTGTATCGGCTGGCCGTGAGGTGTTATCGGCTGACGTGAAGTGTGTATCGGCTGACAGTGAAGTGTGTATCGGCTGACAGTAAAATGTGTATCGGCTGACAGTAAAATGTGTATCGGCTGACAGTAAAATGTGTATCGGCTGACAGTGAAGTGTGTATCGGCTGACAGTAAAATATGTATCGGCTGACAGTAAAATGTGTATCGGCTGACAGTGAAGTGTGTATCGGCTTACAGTGAAGTGTGTATCAGCTGGCAGTGAAGTGTATCAGCTTGTCATTGAAGTGTGTATCGGCTGACAGTGGAGTGTGTATTGGCTGCTAATGAAGTGTATCAGGTTGTCATTGAAGTGTGTATCGCTGACAGTAGGTGTGTGCTATCGGCTGACAGTGAAGTGTGTCGGCTGACAGTGAAGTGTGTATCAGCTGGCAATGAAGTATATATTGGCTGTTAGTGAAGTGTATCAGCTTATCATTGAAGTGTGTATCGGCTGACAGTGGTGTGTGTCGGCTGACAGTGGTGGAGTGTGTATCGGCTGACAGTGAAGTGTGTATCAGCTGGCAATGAAGTATATATTGGCTGTTAGTGAAGTGTATCAGCTTATCATTGAAGTGTGTATCGGCTGACAGTGGTGTGTGTGGCTGACGATGATGTGTATCAACAGCAATAGTACCGTAATGACATTAGTGAAGTGTATCGACTATCATTGAAGTGTATCGGCTGACAGTGGTGTGTATCGGCTGACAGTGAAGTGTGTATCAGCTGGCAATGAAGTATATATTGGCTGTTAGTGAAGTGTATCAGCTTATCATTGAAGTGTGTATCGGCTGACAGTGGTGTGTGTGTCGGCTGACAGTGAAGTGTGTATCGGCTGACAGTGAAGTGTGTATTGGCTGACCGTGAAGTGTGTATCGGGTGACAGTGAAGTGTGTATCGGCTGACAATGAAATGTGTATCAGCTGATAGTGAAATGTGCATTATTTAACAGTGACATGTAAATTAGCTGATCGTGAAGTGTGTATCGACTGACAGTGAAGTGTGTATCGACTGATAGTGAAGTGTGTACCGGCTGACAGTAGTATGAGTATTGGCTGACAGTGAAGTGTGTATAAATAAAGGTATTGTTACAAATGGTGGTGTTGGTTCATACGACATCGTCCTACGTTTAGCGCCTCAACCGTTCGACCACGCTTTGTTAATGTATATTTATTTTGTGTTTGATAAATAATAAGTATTAGAAAGGTGATTTTTTTTGTCTTCTGTTGAGTTTAATGAGAGAATCTTGAGGTTGAGTTTGATGTTTATGCGATTTGATGCTCACCATATTGTTTGATGAATATAGTGTGAGATTAGGTAAGTTAAACGATCCGTTATAGGGACAAGGCAGGCACCCCACCCGCCTAATGACCTCGCGATGTCTCATACTGATCTCACTTCCAGCCAGACGTAAACCCAGTATTTGCAGGTCTAGCAAAATCCTGCTAGTGGGTGTGAAGTCCACGTCACTAGTCTTCCCCATTTGAGTCATACCTCTGTCACTAGAGGGAGACCAGACGACCATGGCAGTAGTAAGCAGTCAAAAAGCAGCAAAACCTGTCCAGGATGGCGACAAAAATGCACCCCGTGCCGGCTCATTCCTGTGGAGCTCAACTCGGAGAAACCCGACGGAGAGAATGACGAAGTGGCTTTGCCAGCACGCCCTTTCGTCAACTTGGGTATGCCGGATGCAGAGTTGTCCCCAGCTGGGATCCTGTCATCATTGTTCCAGCCAGGCCGCCAGCCCGACGACACCATCTGGTTGATTGCTGGCACCACAGTCATCAGGTTAGAAGTATTTATCTAGGGACGGCGGAGCCAACTTGCTGCCTCTCCTTGACCCAGGGGCCTTGCCTTAATTGGGGCTTTCATTAATTGTGTTGGTCCGAAGTCATCGTGTTGGCTACAGTCAGCGTTTGTAACGTCCATACTACTTGTGAACATCAGCTGCTAGAAGCAAGGAGGAAGAGAGAAGTTGATGTCCAAGAGTAGAGACACATACTGTCCTGGAAAACCCTGTCCCGTTGATAGCTCTATTAAAGATCCGCCCCGGAGGCACCTACCAATGTAGATGTGTCATGTCGAACCTGATGGAGTGAGGGAAGTGTGCAACAGTGCAACACAACAGTTCACGTAGGTGTTAGTACGGATGGGATCAGAGTTGGAGAAGATTCTTGTGTTGTCGTCGAGAAGAGGATCCTATGTCCTGTGGGATGGACATTCCCAGTGTAGAAAATTGACTAGCTGGTCCCCCACTATAGGAGAAGCTCCCGTTCCAGGTACGAGTACTGAAAGTAAGTAGCTTAATAAGCCAGTAGCCACCGCCATTGCGGAGAGAGGCTATGCCGCTGAAATCAGTTACCAAGGAGGAGGAACAGTCTTGTTCAAGATCCTTCGAACACTGCTGGAGACAGCTGACAACTCAAGGCCATTTGTTTACTATAGTACGTAGTATAATATAATACGAAACAACAAAGCCCAACCATTAATTTAAGCAACGGGGAACTAAGTAACCGATCACCGGTTGGTGAAGAGTGTATCTGCTGACAGTGATATATGTATCGGCTGACAGTGGAGTGTGTAAAGGCTGACACTTGGAGGGTGTATCGGCTGACAGTGGAGTGTGTATCGGCGGACAGTGAAGTGGGTATCGGCGGACAGTGAAGTGGGTATCGGCGGACAGTGAAGTGGGTATCGGCGGACAGTGAAGTGGGTATCGGCGGACAGTGAAGTGGGTATCGGCAGTGAAGTGGGTATCGGCGGACAGTGAAGTGGGTATCGGCGGACGACAGGAAGTGTATCGCTGACAGTGAAGTGTGTATCGGCTGACAGTGAAGTGTGTATCGGCTGAAAGTGTGTATCGGCTGAAGATCGGCTAAGAATGAAGTGTGTATCGGCTGACAGTGAATTGTGTATCTGCTGACAGTGAAGTGTGTATCTGCTGACAGTAAAGTGTGTATCGGCTAAGAATGAAGTGAGTATCGGCTAAGAATGAAGTGTGTATCGGCTGACAGTGGAGTGTTTATCGGCCGACAGTGGAATGTGTATCGGCTGACAGTGGAGTGTTTATCGGCCGACAGTGGAATGTGTATCGGCTGACAGTGGAATGTGTATCGGCTGACAGTGAAGTGCGTATTGGCTGACAGTGAAGTGCGTATTGGCTGACAGTGAAGTGGGTATCGGTTGACAATGAGATGTGTATCGGTTGCCAGTAAGGTGTGTATCGGTTGCCAGTGAGGTGTGTATCGGCTGCCAGTGAAGCGTGTATCTGACGACACGGGTTTGTGCATCGTCTGACAGTGAAATGTGTATCAGCTAACTGTGTGTATCGGCTGACTGTGGACTGTATCAGCTGATAGTGCAGTGTGTATCGGATGACAGTGAAGCATGTAACGGCTGACAATGAAGTGTGTATCGGCTGACAGAGAAGTGTGTATCGGCTGACAGAGAAGTGTGTATCGGCTGAAAGTGATGTGTTTCTCGGCCTACAATGAAATGTGTATCGGCTGACATTGGAGTGTGTATCGGCTGACAATGAAATGTGTATTGGTTGACAGTGAAGTGTGTATCGGCTGACAATGAAATGTGTATTGGTTGACAGTGAAGTGTGTATCGGCTGACAATGAACTGTATTTTGGCTGGCTGTGAAGTGAGTCACTGCTGACCGTGAAGTGTGTGTCAGCTAACTGTGGAATGTGTGTCAGCTGACCGTGGAGTGTTTATCGGCTGACAATGAAGTGTGTATCGGCTGACAGTGAAGAGTGTATCGGCTGACAGTGAAGTGTGTATCGGCTGATAGTGAAGTGTGTATCGGCTGACAATGAAGTATGTATTTGCAAACAATGAACTGTATTTTGGCTGGCTGTGAAGTGAGTCACTGCTGACCGTGAAGTGTGTGTCAGCTAACTGTGGAATGTGTGTCAGCTGACCGTGGAGTGTTTATCGGCTGACAGTGAAGTGTGTATCGGCTGCCAGTGAAATGTGTATCAGATGACAGTGGTTTGTGAATCGGCTGACAGTGGGGTGTGTATCAGCTAACTGTGTGTTTCGGCTTACAGTGTAATGTGTATCGGCTGACTGTGGAATGTGTATTGGCTGACAGAGAAGTGTGCATCGGCTGACAGTGGAGTGTGTATCGGCAGACAGTGGAGTGTGTATCGGCTGACAGTTGTAGTGTATATTTGGCTCACAGTGAAGTGTGTATCGGCTGACAGTAAAGTGTGCATTGACATAGTAAAGTGTCATCGGCTGACAGTGAAGTGTGTATCGGTTGACAGTGGAGTGTATATTGGCTGTCAGTGGAGTATGCATCGGCTGTCAGTGGAGTCTGTATGGCTGTCAGTGGAGTGTGTATCGGCTGACAGTGGAGTGTATATCGGCAGACAGTGGAGTGTGTATCGGCTGACAGTGAGGTGTATTGGCTAAAAGTGAGGTATATCGGTTGAGAGTGTAGTGTATATCGACTGACATTGAGGTATATACCCGTATGTGATTTATAAATGATTCCGGGGCTTAGAAACCTTCCATATCAGGATAGGTTAAAGAAACTAAACTTGCATTCCCTAGAAAGACGAAGAGTGCGGGGAGATATGATAGAAGTATTTAAGTGGGTGAAAGGAATCAATAAAGGGGATATAGATAAAGTTCTTATAATATCCGAGCAGGATAGGACTCACAGCAACGGATTTAAATTGGATAAATTTAGGTTTAGGAGGGAGATAGGAAGGAACTGGTTCACAAATAGGGTGATAGACGAGTGGAACAAGCTTAGCAACTTTGTAGTAAGGGCTGGAACGCTGGAAAGTTTTAAAAGGAGGCTAGATAGATTCATGGATGATAGAGAGTGGTAGTAACTCTCGACAGGAGCTGCCATGCACAGGCCAACCGGCCTATTGTATACTCATTTTCTTATGTTCTTATGTGTATATCGGCTGGCAATAAGGTGTATATCGCCTGGCAATGATGCGTATATTGGCTAATAGTGAGGTTTATATCGGCTGACAGTGAGGTTTATATCGGCTGACAGTGAGGTGTATATCGGCTGATAGTGACGTGTTTATAGACCATCTCCTGACACCACATGAATCATTCCTTTATAGTGTACTCAATTGTAGAGTGACGTCACGCCTTATTGGCTCGGTTTGATTAGGTAAATACATGGGCTATACTGTATGTATATATGTGGTGATTCATGTGCCATGTGTATGTTTTTGAAGAGTGAGTGGGTGTGTGTGTTCCACTATATATGAATATTTGTCTAATTAAGGAAGATGGTCGACTAAACTAGGTTCAGTAACGTTAAGTAAAGTTAGGTTAATGGTGAGCTTCTATAGTTTGTATTATCATCATCATCGTGAAGGTTCATAAACAACCTGGCAATTACCAAGTAAATTCAAAGTTGATTTTCCACAACTTTAGCACCAGTCCACGAATAATTGTTTAAACACCAGCTTAACGAGGAGTTACAACACCAGCTGAACAATGTCGCCGGAACGATCACTTCAGTCGTTTGTTTTCAAAGTCAGTAATAAAATCCGTTTAAAAATATAATTCAACCGATGACCAGAATCCTTACTAGTTCTATGATACAAGATAAGTACTAGTGGTACTCACACTGTGTATCACAAAGCCCGATATTTCTCACGGTACTTGAAGATAAATTAAGGGATGGGGCGTCCTATTAGTTCATATGGGACACTTGAGATGTAATATTCGAAAACACATCGTGTTCATTTTACGAAATAAATTTACGTTATGAAGTTTCACTCTTACTGTTCGTTCCCTGTGTGGGGAGTCTCATGTTGTGCGTATGCTGACACTGTGACGATCATACGTGGGCAGTAGCTCACCTGTGTTATAATACAGGGTCCAGGAACATATGAGCAGATGTATTCTTACCGCTAAGTACGCTGTCCGTGACCACTCACTAGAGGAGGACCATCCGTGAACACCCTTAACCACAACCACAACTTCTAGTCACCGGTGACCAACTGACCGACCACCGCAGCAGCAGCCCAGGGGGGGGGTTGTTCCTCGCCACACCTGAATCACTGTTCATTACGTGGATGAAGCAGATTCAACAACACATTGAAGCAGTGAATATTCTTGTTTTTTACACAGCAAAGACAACTTTGGTGCCCAGGATATCATTTCACCGATAACCAGATGGTATATTTAACGTTTTAATTTATGTTGTCCCTTTAACAACTCACTTTAACGCAACTACTTAATTGACTTGTTTCATTTGATGCTTCATTTGATCCTGGTGGGTTTCATCCTTCACGTCTAAGTTGTTTATGTTACACTAAGTGATGCGAGTCTGTCTTTTCCGTGATTCGGTAGATTGTGTTATAGTTTCACCAGTTATCTGTGTCCATCGCTAAATTATTTAACTCTCTATCATCTTTATTCACAAGAGACAAGAAAAAAAAAATGAAAAGATGACGAAAACATAAGGCGACAAGCGAACACACACACACACACACTTGGTAGTACCCTCACCTTACGTACTTTACACAGTAGATGAAGACGATCTTACAATGTCTTCCTGGCGGGATATTCGTGTAGTTTATTTCGTTAATTAGTATTTTACCTTAGCTATATTAAATATTTTTTTGTATGTAAAGTTGAATTTGTTTTGTACCTTTCTTCTGGTATTTATTTTGTAAACCATTTTTTTTTTCTGAGAAATCACCGCGCTTATGATGATGGTGGTGATGATGATGGTGATGATGGTGAAGGTTGTGATGGTAATAATAGGTATGGTGACTGATTATGGTGATGATAATGATAAAAATGGTGACTGATGATGATGATGGTGACGATGATAATGATAATGACGATGGTGGGGATGATAATGACGATGATGATGATGGTGACGATGATAATGATAATGACGATGGTGGGGATGATGATGTGATGATGATGATGGTGACGATGATAATGATAATGACGATGGTGGGGATGATAATGACGATGATGATGATGATGATTCTCCATTGAGACGTATGGTGAACAAGATAAGTAAATACATTCAACTAAAATCTTACTTCTCGTCTTCATCACAAAGGCAGACATACACCGCCAACAACTACTAGAGTGCGTTTGCCTCTCTCCCTGAATCACGAACCCGGAGATTGAGACTCATGAATCCGAAGTATCTATGGACAGAATGATGGATGTATCAGTCTACTACTTTGGATTCACGTGTCTGAATTCTGGGGTTCGTGGTTTAGGGGTTAGAGGAGAACGCACTATATTAGTTGACTGCACACACACACACACACTCACACTCACACTTCGAGCTACAGCAACTTTACCAATAGGTGTAATCTGTGTTCCAAGACACTGGATAAAGTGTCTTTATTTTATGGGTCATGTATACACTATGACTATGTGTCCCTGGCCTGTTTTAGCTGGTTTCATACACCTTTGCATTGGTGTATATATAATAGGTACCATTTTATGATCCATGAGTGTACAGTACCCGAGTGTGTAGAGTACTTGTGACGATGATTGTGGATGATCTGTGCTTGAGTCATGTATACTTGGGATGGCCTCTTTACCTAATGATTTTTTAAACACATATGAGAGACCAATACTGTCAGTAAGATCGAGCGAAGTTTCGTCGGGCGAAGGCTCTCTGATTTCTTTGCTGTTCGGTAGTGATCATTGACAGGCGTAGCTGAGCGCTCGTACTGACGCTATCTTCATGGTGGGAGCCAGAAGAGTTAAAAACAGAGTTTGGTGACCGTTCCTCTAGTATGCTTCCATTTCGGGTTGGAGGGAAACGCCAGTCGCAATCGATCGCTCGTGCTGGCACTGTCACTGTGGTCCGGGTCACGATACTGGTAACTAGCAATGACTGGATGTGTTCCCCCACAGTTCTGGCAGTGAGCACAGGAGCTCCCCCACGAGGCATCATCACCGGGTCCTCTATACGTCGCCAGCATGAGGAGTCCACGGCTGCTGCTACTACTGCAGCTGTGTTTCTTCGTCAGCGCCTCCTTCGTGCATATCTCAGACGCCCAAGACATCGAAAATCCGGTAGGTGTCTCGCTCCTTCTACCAGGAAGAATGAAATAAGGTAAAGGAGGGGGCAATTAGGTGTCTCCTTCCCTCTAGCAGGAAGGAGGGAGTAAACGAGGGAGGAAGGAAATAAGGTAATGGAAAGTGTTGGACACAAGGAGTACAGAGACGAAAGGAAACTATAACGTGTGTGTTAACTTTGTTAGTATAGCACACACACACACACACACACACACACACACACACACACACACACACACACACACACACACACACACACACACACCTGCACCACTTCCAAACACTATAAATCAACTCACAGGTGTCCCGTTGCACCTACCATTAGCCACAACTGCCCCCCTCCCCCCCTGACAGAGATGAATGCACCTCAAGACTCACTCACAAACAAGAAGAGAAAACCAAAACAATAACAATCGGTATCAGTAACTTGGCCTTATACTCCAAACTGTATGTAAACTGAGGAGACAAGGACAGCAAGTTACGACAAAAAGTAACGTATAAATATGTTGTTAAAGTACAGTGCATAGTAAGAGAATGTACAACGATGAAAAATTACAAGGTAGTGGATATGTACACAGTGTGGAGGCAAAAGTACACCCAGGGATCATTGCAGGAAACATACCTCGTGTTTGGTAGTAGTGTTGTGTGTATAGTGTGTTGCTAGTAGTGTTGTGTGTATAGTGTGTTGCTAGTTGTGTTGTGTGTATAGTGTGTTGCTAGTAGTGTTGTGTGTATAGTCTGTTGCTAGTAGTGTTGTGTGTATAGTCTGTTGCTAGTAGTGTTGTGTGTATAGTGTGTTGCTAGTTGTGTTGTGTGTATAGTGTGTTGCTAGTAGTGTTGTGTGTATAGTCTGTTGCTAGTAGTGTTGTGTGTATAATCTGTTGCTAGTAGTGTTGTGTGTATAGTGTGTTGCTAGTAGTGTTGTGTGTGTATAGTGTGTTGTGGGTTAGTAGTGTTCTGTGTATAGTCTGTTGCTAGGTAGTGTCGTGTGTATAGTGTGTTTACAGAAAAGTTGTGTGTATAGTCTGGTTGCTAGTAGTGTTGTGTGTATAGTCTGTTGCTAGTAGTGTTGTGTGCATAGTCTGTTGCCAGTGTTGTGTATAGTGTGTTGCTAGTGTTGTGTGTATAGTGTGTGTTGCTGGCAGTGTTGTGTGGCTAGTGTTGCTAGTAGTGTTGTGTGTGTACAGTCTGTTGCTGCTGGTGTTGTGTGTATAGTGTGTTGCTAGTAGTGTTGTGTGTATAGTGTGTTGCTAGTAGTGTTGTGTGTATAGTGTGTTGCTAGTAGTGTTGTGTGTATAGTGTGTTGCTAGTAGTGTTGTGTGTATAGTGTGTTGCTAGTTGTGTTGTGTGTATAGTGTGTTGCTAGTTGTGTTGTGTGTATAGTGTGTTGCTAGTAGTGTTGAGTGTATAGTCTTTATGCACTACGTTAATGTATGTTATAGTGTACGAACCTTGTGAGTGTTGGCGCTTTTGTTATTGTGGTGATATTGGAGAGAGAGAGAGCACTGCTTATCCATACTAAATCCAGTCCTCTCCAACGTAGGCAACTGATCCAGGAGTGATCAGCAGCGAGTGTAATAAAGCAGGAGGAAAGTGCATCTTACTGGAGGAGGAGGGAGAAGGACCCAAGTGTTCCTTCCTCCTTAACTCGTCTGATTGTCCCCAAGATACTTCCTGCTGTCTGTGTGAGTATGAGTATAGTGGGGTAAGGTGGCTAGGTCATCTCATTCGCCAATAGAATTGTCGCGTCGGGTTAATGAATGGTTCTGATTCGTGTTATAGAACGACAGAGTTTGCGTTTTTGAGCTGTGGAACTTCAGATGATGTTGGTCATACTGGCGATAATAATAATAATAATAATAATAATAATAATAATAATAATAATAATAATAATAATAATAATAATAATAATAATAATAATAATAATAATAATATTTAAAGGGTTATCTAAAACAACTCAAATAACACACATATCCACATAATGCATATGCTATTACCAGTTTATAATAAAATAGATGAATATACAAAATCAATATTCTAGTTCAGAAAACACCTGGTGAGAGAGAGGAGGAGAGTGAGACACCAGCAGAAGAAGGAACCGAGAGAAAACGGGCGAAGAGAAGTACCAGAAATGAGGGTCGGGAGGGGACAGAATCAGGTAGAAATTATGACAAAAAATCGCCAACAGAGAAGAGAAAGTCAAAGACAAGTCCCAAGGAGCAACGAAAGAGGGAGAATGAGAAGAGTTTGGACAAGTCTGATAACCCTAGGAAAAAAATAAAGAAAAATCGCCAGGAAAAGAAGAACGGAAAACAGTCAAGAAAAAAAGGAAAGGAAACTCTGGAAAGGAACCGAAAAAAGAAACAGGATACAGGATCGAACAAGAAGCAAAAATATGACAAGAGACTCGAGAAGGTGAACGTAGGAACTCTCACAAAGAAGATAAGCAGCACAGAGAGGGAGAAGCAGAAGAAGAAGAAACCAAAGAGAAAAAAACCTGACGATGAAGACGATAAAGGCAAGGAAGGGAAGATGAAGGTCCTCAAAAAGCAGCGTACAGGATCGAACAAGGAAAAAACAAATGACGAACGACTCGAGAAAGTGAAAGCAGGAACTCTTAAAAAGAAGATAAGCAGCACGAAAAGGGAGAAGCAGAAGGAAAAACCAAGGAGAAAAAAAACTGACGATGATGACGATAAAGGCAAGGAGGGGAAGCTGAAACTCGTCATGATGGAGGGAGAAGGATCAGTGGAAGAGGCACGTAGCGGTAAACCTAAAGGTGAGATACATGTGTCATCGTCGCTACTCTGTCATAGTTCATTCCAGAAGGGGGTCATACAAGGGGAGGGGTATTGGTTTGTCACAGTGCTGATTTTAGAGCCTGTGTGAGTATGTCACTATAATAATAATAAAAATGATAATAATAATAATAATATGATGATGATGATTTTTTTTTAGGCCCATAGATACACTACAGTATATACGTGTTCTTCACACCCACACACACACACACACTACTTACTACTACTTTGCTGTCACTCGGAATCGAGTATGACGATCATCCAGCTATGATACAATGATATGAGTTATTAGGGATGACACCTCCGTTGGTGAGCTCTGCGGTAACTAGAGAGGCAGATACGGGACCGGCAGGGTCGTCCACACTTGTTGCATGTGTGGTGGGCTACATCTAGTGTGGGAGGGGCGACCGCCGCGTCTTTCCGGCGTTGGCCCTTGTCTGCCTTGGTATGCATTCGGGCTAACTCGAAAGTATTGACACCTTCTCGTGTGGTGCTCCTCCAAGCGTTACGGTGTGGAGTAATCGTCTCCCAGGTGAGGGATTGATTTGGCACTTTTTCTGGTTTGACATAAGACTTTCCTTATAATTTTTAGTTGCCCGCCAGCGTTACGTTTATTATTCGTTAGGTGACTGTAAAGTAGCTGCTTTGGCAGTCTTCTGTCGTCCATACAGGTAACATGCCCAGTCCAACGTAGTTGTTCATGGATAATGGTAGCCTCGATGCTCCTACAGTTGGTGTCAGCGAGAATACTGGTATTTGTTCTCTTGTCTTCCCAGCGAGCTCGTAGGATGGAACATAGACTACATTGGTGAAAGTTTTCAAGAGCCTTGAGGTACCTCCTGTATGTGACCCGTGTCTCGCTGCCATATAGCAGGGTGGGTAGGACCACTGCTTGATATACGTGCAACTTTGTAGATAATTTCAGAGCCCTACAGCTGAAGACATGGGTACGGAATCCACCAAATGCTTGTAATGCACATCTGATCCGATATTGAATCTCTTTATCAATGTCCGCGGTGGCGGACAGGAGGGAGCCGAGATACCGAAAGTGGGTAACACTAGAGAGGGTAGTAACGCTAAGCTGGATGGATGGTGGAGGTGTGTCTGAACCAGGGGCAGGCTAAAAAAGAATCCGAGTCTTACTTACAATCACCTCAAGGCCGAAATGTGCATACGCATCTGTGTAGGTGTTCAGGATCTCCTGTAGGTCGCATTCAGTGTGACCGAAAAGTCTGAGGTCATCTGCATACTGAAGTTCAGCAATGGAAGATGCCGACACATTTGTTCCTGCCTGGAGTCGTCTTATGTTGAAAAGATCCTTTATCCAATATTGGATGTCCACCCCGCCGGCTAAGTTGGAACTGGCACGAGTAAGGAAGGCAGCCAAGAAAATGAAAAAGAGAGTTGGTGTCAGTACACACCCTTGTTTTACCTCCGTTTGAATGGGGAAGAACTCAGACTGGATGCCATTGTGCAGGCCACTGCCGTTTATGCCGTTGTGGAGTTGCCTCACAAAGGAGATGAATTTTTGGGGGCAACCAAAACGGCTGAAAGCCCGCCAGAGGCTTCCCTGTTGACTGAGTCGAAGGCCTTGGTTATTTTGATGAAAGCCATGTACAGGTCACGATGCTGTTCTCTGCACTTTTCCTGTATCTGGCGGGCAGCAAAGATCATGTCAGTGGTGTCACGTGATGGTCTAAAGCCACATTGAGATTCTGGGAGGAAGTTTTCCACCTCAGGAAGAAGTCTGTTTAGGAGGACTCGGGCGATATAATCTTGCCAGCTACGGACAGCAGCGAGATCCCTGGGTAGTTGCCACAGTGTGACCGGTCTCCCTTGTTCTTATAAATATTGACAATGGAGGCGTCTTTAAGAGCTTAGGGGATTTCCTCCTTTTCCCATATATTCTCCATGAGAGAGTGGAGACGGCTGGGAAGCAGAGGTCCTCCTGCTTTATACACCTCTGCTAGGATTCCATCAGGCCCTGAGGCTTTGTTTTATCGTGTGTTTGGTGGCAGTAGCTACCTCATCCAGGGATGGAGGATAGCTGAGGTGGGTCAGCTCTGGATGCTGAGGGACCTGCTGGGTAGTCATGATTGGCCCACAAAATGTTTTAGTGGAAATGAAAAATTCGTGCATCTTGCGCTGATCTACAAATTTTTGTGTTTCACCTGCTTTATTTCTAAACCAGTCGTTATTTAGATTGCAAAGTTCCCGCCGGGCCGCCTCTGTCCTCTTTCGAAAGGTATCAGCTTTGGACCGAGACTGAGGGATGTTCTGCCAGTCAGTTAAAACAGCACGTTTATCATCTACGAGTACATTGATTGCCGAGTCACACACACACACACACACACACACACACACACACACACTGTGAGTCCATGCCCCAAACGTTAAAATCCCCCAGCAAACGTAGGGGGGGAGGGGAGGGGAGGGGGAGGGGGGCACATGTTCTGTACCCCCTCGCCAAATTTTCCCATTATCTTTTTGTTAAACACCCAGAAGGTATTTAAAAAAATGAAAAAAATAATAAATGTCTCGTCTTCTTGTTGATTAATACAACCAAATTTTCTGTCAATAACTTGTTCAGAAAAAGTTAAAGTATGATATTGGTTAACTAATTGACTAGCTGTAGTTCATTGACTAATATATAGTGAATTTCCTATTTGTAATGTTAACCCATAGTGAACTCTCTTCCCTTAACAGGCTGCAAAGTGCTGAAAGGCTGTAAGAAGAGAGGCGGAAAGTGCAAGAAGAAGTGCAAGAAAAATGAAACTCGGTTTAAGAAAGGCTGTAAAGGCCAGAAATGTGTCTGCTGTGGTAAAAGTGAGTCACAACACTGACATATACTGTATTCTGCTGCTGTCATCAATTTTAGTGTGCGAAACACGTATGAAATTCATAATTTTTTTTCTCTTCAAATAGCATCACCAAGTTTCGCTGCATGAAGATTTAGCAACAAATATCTGATATTATTACCAAAATGGACCATTAATTTTTTTTTTTAATTAAGTGAAATCTTGAAAAGCAGTGTCGGTGGCACAGAGGTATCGGGCTTGCCTCTTACCAGTTCGTCCTGGGTTCGATAAGATAATTTTTGTCCCGTGTGACAGAACGACCGCTGCATGTTTCACTCAGTGTGGTGTACTGAGATTGTACTGTGCCGAAATTGTTCTCGGTCTGCGCAGTTCGATCGAAACGGCAACGAGTGATTGAGCCGTGCTGAGATTACCCCTTGGAATAAAATGGTGGGGTTAAATTAAGTTAAATTAAGTTAGGTAAGATTAATTTAGGTTTTAATCAAACTACGCATGCCAAGAACAGTTTCAGCATAACACTCCTCCATTAACATCGGACAAATAGGGAATGAACCTCACTGGGCCCTTAATAATACCAGTTAGATATAATACTACTACTAATAATACTAATTCTAATAATAATAATTGTAACTGCCTTAGTTAAGGATGGTCGGGTGATATTTATTGATATGGTCAAAACCTGCAAAGAACAAGGCGTCCATTAATACTACATGGTGATCCATCTAATACATAACTAGTTAGTCTCACACAATTTTATCTTAAATGCATAAGATCATTAAACATAGTGACGTAATACAAAGTACATAACCCTATTAATCTTAATTGCGCTTCATTCCACATTGTCTTATTGCTTCAGATAAGGCAGAAAACGAGTAGGCCTAATTAGTCCACAATACTTCAGTACTGAGGGGGACGTCATTACGTAAGCTGTACTTTCAAGTGCAAGTTGATGGAAATCAGTATGGTGTTCCCACAGACCTTGGGTGTTCCAAGAGACAACAGTACTGCATAAATTGTCTTAGCACAAAACTCAGGGACAGGAATGTACACTACTGCCAGCAGAGGGTGGAGATGTTCACAGTATGGCTGTAAAGGGTGGTCTGAGAGTTAGTGAAGGCCAGAGAGTCACCGCCACCTGTAGAACTGTCTACTCAGCAGAAACCAGGATCACTCGGCTGTAAACATCCCCTCAGCTCGCTTCACTCCCCTCTCCTACATCTTCAATACTCTCATAACTAAACTATTTATAAAAATTTATTAACGCGGGCGGTAACACTCCAAAACGCTTGTTCTATGGCTGCTACGTTCACAAACATCTGGCGAGGTCACAGGTCGAGCGGGCACATGGGAGTCACAAGTTACAGTTACAAGTAGTAGAAGCTCCAAAAAAGTTGCTGGTAGCGAAAGTCAGAGCGGGGAAGATGACAGAGGAAGAAGCAGGAGGTTAGGAAGGGAATTGTAGTGGGAGAGATAGAGCCGTGGCTTTACACGACTGCGTTTATTTGGTTAACGCAGAGCGCACGTATATATATATATATTTTTTTTTTATTGGGCACCCCCCTACATCCTTGTGTAAGGTGAAGCGCAGAAGCGTTTACAGCGCCCAACAGGGAAGCATGCAAAGTTCATGCTTGCCTTTATGTCTCATGAGTTAAGGGCACAGAAGCCTGAAGAGTCAAGGGCGTTGAAGCCTGAAGAGTCAATGGTTTATGTCTAAGCAAGTTATTGGAAGCTCCAACAACTTGTCCCTGAGTACGAAGTCGCAACTTTCGATTTATAGCAGGTACCTACTTTGCTGCTAGGTGAACAGGGACCAAGGGAGGCTGGAAGTGTGTCCAAACAACTTTCCACCGGGCCGGGAATCGAACCCATGACATCTCGCTTGCGAGGCAAGAGCGGTACAGCTCTACCACCGGCGCACCTCTACAGTCTACAAGGAAGATCGCGGCTGACGTGGTCGTAGGCTGAGAGGTTTATGTTTGTTTGGGTAAGGTGACACTCGTAAACGGCACATCCACATCGGTTGAGATGCTGGGAGGCACTCGGTGCTGAGTGGAGGTGCTGAAGGCAGCAAGTGCCGGATCTGTGTTAGAGAAGCCAGAGGCGATACTACTACTACTACTACTACTACTACTACTACTAATAATAATAATAATAATAATGATAATAATAAAGTAGACATACTGTATATTGTGTAGTACTAGGACCACATTAGAAAAACACCCCCTTTAAGTATTATTAATACTTTATAATGTAGTATTCATGTAGTTATGTATGATTTTTTACTAAATAAAATCAAATAAAATCGTTAGCATTCCAGAGGTAAACACTTAAATAAATATTATAGCTTCTCATAAAAATGACCCGTTTTCTGCTATTATTATTTAATATGTTTTCTGTTATCAAAGTTTACACGTAAATATTTATTATAGCTACACGTTTGAAAGACACGTTTTCTGTGATGAAAACAAAATACATGTAAAAAATATACGAATGCATATAACAATAACTGTGCTAGTGTTGATATGACGATAATGTTTACATTTTGCTAATACACACGAGTTTTCCTTCTAGGAAGCCACGGACGAGTCCACAAAAGTTTTCTCTCTTGCCTATACTTGATACAGCCTTGTATCTGGTTGTGTATTTGTGACTATACGTGTACTAGTCTTTTACCTGTACTTGTACCTCTTCCTTTAAGGTGCTTGTATCTGACCTATACTTGGGCCCGTACTTGAACTTGTCTCTTATATGCCTGTACCTGTAATTCAAGTTAAACTTGTAGTTTCATCATGACCTATATTTACTCCAGTACGTACTTGTACAGTTGCGGAAATGTGTTCCTTCACCCCCTGTGGTAACCCGTGTCTCCAAATGACACCGTCACAGTAGTATCATTATTTATGAATGAATGGGTATTGGTAGTGTAATTGGTGGATAGATTTGTTATAGGTCATATAGGTTGGCCGTTTGGTGAGACAAGTTACTACAGGGGGTGGTAGGAACACCTTTCAGCAACTGTACCCGTACAAGTGTCTTTACTTGCACTGGTACTGAATTCCGTTTTAAACTAACAGTATTCACGATATAGCTCATGTTATCAGTTATATGTTTGCACATTTTATGGGTCTAATTATCTACCCATACATTTCTTCAAATCATTTCTCCTTGTGGACAGGATGTAAGGCGAAAAAACCATGCAAGAATAGGAACGGGTCGTGTAAGTCGTCGTGTAGAGCTGGGGAGGAAGTCGTTGCTAATGGTTGTAAAGGAGGCAAAGGGTGCGTGTGTTGTGCCTCATCCCGTGAGTACCCGACTGCTGCTGTCACTCTGCCATAACCTACTGCTAGTCTCTATCACCACATACACTGCAAAATAAGGGTATACAAAAAAGGGTTTGACAAGGGGTTTTTTGTGTCCCTAATGACAAACTCTTTTAAGGGTATATGATTACCAATAAACCCTTTCTACAATGTGTATATTATAATTCTCCAAACCTTTACTCTCCAATAGGGTATATAAACATCAGTACTTTTAAAACCCTAAGGTGAAGAGAAGTCCTATGATAATAACCTGGCGCTGACCTTCCTCGCATTAGCTTTGTACACCATCCACCGTCCAGTGACACACACCTTGGCCAAGACAGTCCTCACATGTCTTTCAGTTATACCGTGGATCGTTCAAACTGTTCCACAAACACCTAGTAGATGGTATCAAGAACACTCGTGGGGTGTACGACGCCATTTACGATGACCTTCTTGCCCTGATTTTGTTTCAGTTATACCACCCTTTTGAAGCTCTGGAGAGATCTCGAAGTTTCGATATTTTGAGTACAGCACTAGCTAATAATTCCCACCAGGAAACTTGTTTCGAGACTCATCCAAAGCTTCGAAAAGTGCAGAATTCCATGTGTTAAAGGCGATATTGCTGAAAAAAGACCAAGGCAAGAAGGTCATCGTAAATGGCGCTGTACACCCCATAACCGTTCTTGCAATTGGCCCAAATTGCATATACTGTACAACAAGAATGTGACATGGTTCTAGACCATTGGCGGGAACTCACATTTAATTTGTCACTTTGCAATAGACCTTTTCCCACAAGATGGGGTCATGACTTCTCTTTAAAGTATACCCACCTCTCCACCAACACTTTTACCCTCTGGCGAACTTTTTTTCACTTAAAAAATACAAAAATGGAAAAAATAATATATATATATATATATATATATATATATATATATATATATATATATATATATATATATATATATATATATATATATATATATATATATATATATATATATATATATATATATATATTTTAATGGCTCAAAAATAATGAACTCATCCCTATTTCCTGGGGCTCCCAGTCCCATCTTCCCATGGTGGGCGTGCCACTCAGCGTGACGCTGATTGGCTGTGAAAATGGAGTCAGTGTGTAACCCGGTGCTCATTGGGTCTCTCGACATATTCGAAACAGAAGGTGTCTAAAACCTCTTAGGCTCCCTTCACACAAGTTGTTTTAACGCCGCGTGTAATTTTGCCAGCTGTTCACACTTTTCTCCCCTCCACCTTATGTACAGGTGTACAGTAGAGTTATTTAAGTTAAATGTGATCATTAAGATTGGATGTTACATATTAAGTTACTTAAATTACCATCACACTTCCCTCTCCTCTTCTCCACACATCATGATTATATTCCACTAAAATGACCCAAGTAGATTAATTAAAAATAATTTTCATCCAAATTAACACTTTTCAGCTCATTAATTTACAATTTAAATTCTGAGAAGCAGTATGTCGTGCCGTCAAAACCTTTGATGGGATGGAAGTGGTATCTGGCAACTTTATTGAGCAATTATGCCAAATGGTGTAATAAAACAACTTAATTCTAATAAAATATTATTTAAGACTTTAGTTAATTTAAAGAAAAATTTATGGTTGTTGATATTTCGGTACACACTCAGTGTTATATCACAAGCATTTCACAAAGAATGAATCAAAGATATCTAGAGGCTGAAAGAGAAACATTACCGGCAGAAGATAATGTCAAACCAATTGGCACATAAAGGGTATTGTGGAAATAAACATACCCTACCATGTCCGAAGAAGGGTATTATGGGTAGCAGTATACCCTACCATGTCCCAGTCCGATATTAAGGTAGCAGTATACCCTACCGTCCGGGGTAGCAGATATATGGTGGCAATTATGCCTACCCTATGTCCTATTATTATGGTGCGGTAATTATATACTACCTAATCGAAAGGGTATTATGGGCAAGTATGCCTACCATGTCGAAGAAGGGTATTATGGGTGGCATTATACCCTACCATGTCCTAAGAAGGGTATTATGGGTAGCAGTATACCCTACCATGTCCGAAGAAGGGTATTATGGGTAGCAGTATACCCTACCATGTCCGAAGAAGGGTATTATGGGTAGCAGTATACCCTACCATGTCCGAAGAAGGGTATTATGGGTAGTAGTATATCCTACCATGTCATAAAACGCCCGTTTTATACCCTACAAATTTTACAGTGTACTGTTAATGTCTACTACAACTTACGACTGTCTACCACCACTCACTACTGTCTACCACAACTTAATACTGTCTACCACAACCTACTACTGTCGTCTATATCTTACTCTGATTGTGAGGAAACGAGTTGTGGTGATGATGAATTATATTATTACGTAAATTACGCTTTATTCACTGTCACAGGTTGGAATAGTTACCAATGTTCCTCGACAGAGTGCAACGCGAAGACGAACTGCAAGAACTTTGGTGGAAGGTGCAAGTCTGTGTGCAAGGACACGGAGGTCGTGATCAAGGACGGCTGTGACGGGGACGGCTGTTTCTGCTGTGCCCCAGATTTCGTGGGTTGTCCGGCCACCAGCGAGTGTCCAGGCCGCTGTACCGAGACCTGTCAAGGGGTGGTCTCCAACGTCCAGTGCCTCGGGGAGAGCTGCACCTGTTGCCTCGGTTAGTTATTAATATCTTTAATGTTATATAATTGCATTTTAACACAGAAATAATTAAATGTCTGTGATGTTCCCTTACCTATGCCAGCCTCACTTAACTTAACTTAACCTAAGCAAATCTAAACTAAACTAACCTCATCGTCACCCCCCACACACCTGAACCCTCACTGGTCAACAGACTGCAAAGTGACCCCGAGCTGCGAGAAGCAACACGGCAGCTGCAAGTCAGGTTGTTCCTGTGGTGAGGTGGAATTGCCTGGAGGATGTACAGGGAACGGCTGCAAGTGCTGTGTGGCTCATGTGCCAGCGTGCTCAAGCGGGGACAAGTGTTCAGGAAATTGTATGTACGGCCCCTTGTGCACAGGAGAGCTTGGCCCAGGGTCGTGCTCAGGAGAAGCCGGCTGTGCATGTTGTACGGGTGAGTGTGTTAATCCAGTATTATTTCTCCCTCTCTCTCGTTAGTAAATAACAAATACAGATAAGACAAAACTATACACATCTACGTTATGAACATCCTCATGAACAGAGAAGCTAACAATATTTAGAAATAATTTAACATCACAAATTAATAATACCACAAACTCCAAACTGTCAGTCGTTGCACTCGAGTTCATATGGACCCTAACTGATACTCATTTTTTTCCAGAAATCAAATTTCCACACAGCGGGGTGAGCCTGATGTGAGAGACCCAGGTGTGTGGAGGTGACGCAGTGCCTAGTCAAATGGTTCCTAGTCGTACCAACCCAAAGTGACTAGGTTAGGTTAGATTAGGTTAGGTTAGTGTTAGGATGGGGTCTTTCTGGGTTGGGGCCTATTTGACCTACAGGTGGGGCGGGGCGATGATATGAATCCGCTCTTGTTTTTGTTTTTCCCAAAGACTGAAAGATTAACTAACTCGCCTAAGTTGACACACACAGACGGTATCGACAATTATAAGATGATATTATAGTGCACATAAATGTCTTACACTATGTTTTCTCAGCTAATGTTTGGGAAAAAATATCACTTACAAATGTTTTAGAATCCAGTTGTAGTCTCCTCTCGCCTGGCCAATATTTCAATACTAAAGACTGTTAGTTGCCCTTAAGACGTATTTTATTAATCCACATATGAGTTCGTCATTTAGTAGCATATGTATTTTTTAACATGTAAAATATATGTAGTAGTTAACACAAACAAACTAGCATTTTTCCCCTTTAATATTAAAATTATATATATATATATATATATATATATATATATATATATAAAGTTTTCTCTGCGATCATAAATCACCTGTAGTGGGCAGGACATGAAGGATGAGGGAAATTACAGGGTAAAACACCGTGAAAAACTGATCATTTGACACCAAAATTATATCTTTACGCCCTTTATACCAGATATTAAAATAAGTACTTTCTGTTTAATATAACAAGGGATGGGGGGGGGGGGTCCGTCCCCCGGCTAGGAAGTGAGGTAAGGTTAGGTAGGTTTCTTTGGTTGGTCAAGTCAGGTTCTATTAGGTTCTAGTAAATTTCCGCCTTTTCTCTAAAGACTTACTATAATGATAAAAACATCTGTGGAAAAAAATGAACGAAATCGAACAATCCTTCTGGTGGTAGTGCTGTTTTCAGACATTACCAAAGCAAGTGACATGTCATATAAACCAAATAAATATATGACAGACAAGTTGTGGCTCATGAGCAAAGACATTGTCACCTCTACTGTGTTGTATGTTATCTGGGCGAGACAACATGTTAAAGTATAGAAAACCATTCCTTACCTTTAGATGGAAATAAACTTTAAGCGTATTTCTTGGTAGACGCTTAGTTGAAACGACTTCCTGTCTACCATTGGTTGTATATATGCACTGTCATTGTATACGCTTAACCAATGTGGTCTTCTATGGCGATTTTACAAAATAAATATCCATATTAATCAGCAACGCACGGTACAGTACCTGTCTGTCACTAACATGTCAACAAAACCTTGGGGGAGTTAAGGGAGCGTTGATAGAAAGGGAGGAATCACAGTGATTATAAAGGGAGTACTGTATTTATATATGGAGAAAAGATAGCATTCATATACGGTATATATGATCACAGTGATTATCAGAGATATACAATACGGCTTTTTAACTCAGTTTGTAAATCACGAAATTTTAGCATGTTTCAGTGGTGTAACTTTCCCCAAGTGAATTTTTCAAAGGTATTATGTTTGCTGCTTTTTATATTGATTTCTTTCTTTTTTTAATTATTTAAGTTATTCACCGATGCATTTTTTTCGTTTGGTCAACTTTCATTTGTTTTAAGTGTTCACGTGTGAATTTGTTTTCCTTATGTTTAGTTATACAGGTCAAATCGTGCATTTGTTCTTTATTTTTCACGGATTCCTGTGTTTAACCTTTGTGTTGTATGTATAGGGCTGGCTGGCTCTCTGGGGCCACCAGTAGGACATGTTACAACACCTTAACAATACTTTACATGATAACAACATCCCGGTAACCTAGTCCAGATGGCGTCCCTTCACAATGTTTTTATAAGGCCTGTATACACCACAGCCACCAATAAAGCACTCACATTATACTGACTGATTCATTTATCCTTTTGAACTGTGTTATATAGTTCACTTAGTCAAAAGATGGATAATAATTATGGTACGAACAATTAAGTCAAACATAAACGGTGTCTTGGATGGCAAACAACGCCTTCCTTAGCTACCCTCACACTGATGTGCACCTGGAGTGCCCCTGTGACCACACACCCCTAAAAATATCGATGTATATCAAGCTTTTACAAAAAAGCTCAATATCCAGACTTTTGTTTGCCTTGTGGTTATAAATGATGCACTTTTAAAAAAAGAAAATTCATTTAACCAACATACTATATACTGTACACCCTCAACTCTTGTATATATACTATATGTACAAGCTCCTTACGCACACACACTCACACACATAAAATAATACCGAGGTCAATGATCAACCTCTGACTGATGCAGACATAAATATTTTGATTACCAAAGGACTAAAACCTTTAAAGATTGTATAAGATCTAACAAGCCAGAGGTCAATAGAAACACTCAGCCTCCAGGGTCGCAGCCAATGTTTACCTTCTCATACAGTGAGGTCCCTCCATGACACCAGTGAGATACAGTAGTCCTGTCCTATGTTTGATAACCGTGAAACAAAACTATAAATCCCTAACGGCAGTGTCATACACTGGCCCTCTCTGCTTCCTCTGATCATCATCGTGTGCCCAATTACTATTTGAGACAGAGTTGCTGCATCAGCACTAGCAATGTCACCTGTCACCTCCGGTTCTCGTCCACGTGTTGCTGTTCAACACCAGAGCACCACCAACCTTACACGGGCTCACACAGAAGACCACAACACCAGGCCCTTAACAAACACTAAAAATTATCAATGACTCATAGATACCTTGTTTATTCACTCCAGTTTCTTCTCTTATTTGGGCTGAAAACTTTTGCTGAATAGCCCCCTCCTCAATATCACTAAATGAACTGCATGTTATTTCTGTTCATTGCACGATTTCACCCATTAGCTGCTCCATTTTTTTGTTTACAAAAAAAAACAGTTAAGCGATGATATATAATTCATAAACTATACAAAACGGTTTCTAATAGTAAACTTTTCAACCGAAAGAGAATCCTGTATTGTGGTGATGTTAAATAATGAAAATATGTAAATTTCGCTTTATTTACTGTCACAAGTTGGAATAGTTACCAATGTTCCTCTACAGAGTGCAATGCAAAGACGAACTGCAAGAACTTTGGTGGAAGCTGCAAGTCTGTGTGCAAGGACACGGAGGTCGTGATCAAGGACGGCTGTGACAGGGACGGCTGCTTCTGCTGTGCCCCGGATTTCGTGGGTTGTCCGGCCACCAGCGAGTGTCCAGGCCGCTGTACCGACACCTGTCAAGGGGTGGTCTCCAGCGTCCAATGCCTTGGGGGGAACTGCACCTGTTGCCTCGGTCAGTTAGTAATGTCATTAATGTTATAATGGTTGTTTATAAACACAGAGATAATGAAATGTCTGTGATGTTCCCTTACCTAAGCCAACTTAACTTAACCTAACCTAAACTAACCTAACCTAACCTAACCTAACCTAACTTAACCTAACTTAACCTAACTTAACCTTACCCAAACAAATGTAAACTAAACTAACCTCACCGTGGTCCCCACACACCTCAAACCCTCACTGGTCAACAGACTGCAAAGTGACCCCGAGCTGCGAGAAGCAACACGGCAGCTGCAAGGCAGATTGTTCTTGTGGTGAGGTGGAGTTGCCTGGAGGTTGTACAGGGAACGGCTGCAAGTGCTGTGTGCCTCAAGTGCCACAATGCTCAAGTGGGAACCAGTGTTCAGGAACGTGCTTGTACGGGCCCTTGTGCACAGGAGATCTTCGTCCAGGGTCGTGCACAGGAGAAGTCGGCTGTGCATGTTGTAGGGGTGAGTGTGTTAATCAAGAAATATTTTAACAATGTACATTAATAATACAACAAAATCTGGAGCGATCACTCGTGCAATCGAGTTCACTTATGGACTCGGATATTTTTTTTCTACACACCAAGTCTCCACAGAGAAGAGTGAGTTTCATGTGAGAAATACAGATGTATGAAGGTGACAGTCCTGGTCAATGGGCCTCGGTCTTCATGGATACCAAATTAATAGCATAGGCACCTAGTCTTAGGCCTCAGTATTAACAGGACCCAATTTTGTTAGACACTCTTAATAGAGCCCATCCTTAATAGGCCCCAGCTTTAATAGGTATCAGTCCTTATAAACTCCAGTCTTTACATGACGCAGCCGTATAGGGTTTCTGTTTTATAAGCCCCAGAACCAAATCTTGTTAGGCTCCAGTCTTAATAGTCCACAAGTCGTTCAGTTTACTTTCGAGGACAACAAGGATGGCGGTGACGCCAAGTGGTGACCCGCACAGGAGGCTGCCGGCTGGGAGGGTTGCTCGGGAGTCTGGATATATTTTCCTCAAACACACACACAAACACACATACACACACACACACATACACACACACACACACACACACACACACACACACACACACACACACACACACACACACACACTGATTAAACTGTTCACTCGATCCAAATTACTGAACACAAGGCTTACAAATATTTCCTGGAGGTATGAAAGAAGATGTCACGTCGCCCTTTCCTCTAATATGTCTTGGAAGCCACACCTCCTCAACATTTCTAAAGCTGCCTCCACAAAGTTGGGAATCCTGTACAGATGCCGTAGCTACTTCATTCCTCAGCAGATACTTCATTCCTCAGCAGCTGCTTCAAGTATATAAGGGATTCATTCGTCCTAACTTGGAGTACTGCTCTCATATCTGGGGTGACTCTTCTTCTGCCCAACTGTTAGATAGGGTGGAATCAAAGGCATTTCGTCTTATTAACTCTCCTCCATGAGTCGATAATCTCTCTTCCCTTTCTCTTCGCCACAATGTTGCTTCACTCTCTCTCTTTTACAGGTACTTTAACGGACAATGTTCGGTGGATTTGGCATCCTGTGTACCGCCGGCAAGGCCGTGGGCTCGTAACACTCGTCTTGCCCTCAGTGCCCACCGTTTCTGTGTGGATGTCACACTAGAATAACCCGTTATAGTACATCCTTCTTTCCTTACACAGCCAAACTCTGGAAAGATCTGCCTTCTTCTGTGTTTCCATACTCATACTGTACAATCTGATCACTTTAAAAAGCTGTTTTTCCGGCAACTTCGTGGTGTAGATTAATTTAATCGTTTCCTTTTCTATTTTTAATTTCTATCTATTCTTATTTTTTCGCCCCCGAGACCCCGTTGTGGGTCGGTGACCTGTGCCCGGGTGGGCTATTCAACGTAAAAAAAAAAAAAAACCGAGATCGACATATTCACCGTGACATATCATGATATAAAATTAACAAACGAATTTTTACTGAATCTTTTCAGCTAAACGATAGACCTCCAAGTTTATTATCTAAGGAAAACATATTGTGGTGAAGATGAATTAAGAAAATATGTAAATTACACTATATTCACTGTCACAAGCTTCTCGACAGAGTGCAAAACGAAGACGAACTGCAAGGACTTTAGTGGAAGCTGCAAGTCTGTGTGCAAGGACACGGAGGTCGTGATCAAGGACGGCTGTGACGGGGACGGCTGTTTCTGCTGTGCCCCGGATTTCGTGGGTTGTCCGGCCACCAGCGAGTGTCCAGGCCGCTGTACTGACACCTGTCACGGGGTGGTCTCCAGCGTCCAGTGCCTTGGGGGGAACTGCACCTGTTGCCTCGGTCAGTTAGTAATGTCATTAATGTTATAATGGTTGTTTATAAACACAGAGATAATGAAATATCTGTGATGTTCCCTTACCTAAGCCAACTTAAATTAACTTAACCTAAACTAACCTAACTTAACCTAACCTAAACTAACCTAACCTAACCTAACCTAACCTAACTTAACCTAACCTAACCTAACTTAACCTAACTTAACCTTACCCAAACAAATCTAAACTAAACTAACCTCACCGTGATCCCCACACACCTCAAACCCTCACTGGTCAACAGACTGCAAAGTGACCCCAAGCTGCGAGAAGCAACACGGCAGCTGCAAGGCAGATTGTTCCTGTGGTGAGGTGGAATTGCCTGGAGGTTGTACAGGGAACGGCTGCAAGTGCTGTGTGCCTCAAGTGCCACAATGCTCAAGTGGGGACCAGTGTTCAGGAACGTGCTTATACGGGCCCTTGTGCACAGGAGATCTGCGCCCAGGGTCGTGCACAGGAGAAGTCGGCTGTGCATGTTGTAGGGGTGAGTGTGTTAATCAAAAACTTTCATCATGTACAATTATTTCCCCTCTCTTTCTCTAGTGGATAACAATCACTGATGAGACACAAATAACACACGTATGCTATGAAAAGCGCATATTTATAATACTACAAACTCCTGAACTATAGCTATCAATTATTGTACTCGAGTTCACTTACGGACTCTAACTGATATTCATTTTCATTTCCACACAGCGAAGTAAACTTGATGTGAGAGGTTGAAATGTGTAAAGGTGCCTCCCTGCTTAATCATGTGGACTCTAGTCTTAATAAGCCCCAGTCTTGATGGGCCCCAGTATTGATGGGCTCCAGACTTGATGGGCCCCAGTCTTGATGGGCCCCAGTATTGATGGGCTCCAGACTTGATGGGCCCCAGTATTGATGGGCTCCAACCTTGATGGGCCCCAGTCTTGATGGGCCCCAGTATTGATGGGCTCCAGACTTGATGGGCCCCAGTCTTGATGGGCCCTAGTTTTGATGGGCTCCAGACTTGATGGGCTCCAGTCTTGATGGGCTCCAGACTTGATGGGCCTAATTCCTTATTGGCCCCAGTCTTGACGGACCCCAGCCTTAATACGCCTCAGTCATACTAAACCCCAATCTTAATAGGCAAGAGTTTGAGTAGGTCCCATTCTGGATAGGCATCAGTCTTAATATGTTCCAGTCTTAATAGGTGACAGTCATATTAGGTTCAGTCTTTATAGGTCCAAGTGAGTGAAAATAAGTTATATACACATACATATAAGGAATACAGGTATATATTCACTGTCACAAGTTGCTCGATAGAGTGCAAAGCAAAGACGAACTGCAAGAACTTTGGTGGAAGCTGCAATTCTGTGTGCAAGGACACGGAGGTCGTGATCAAGGACGGCTGTGACGGGGACGGCTGTTTCTGCTGTGCCCCGGATTTCGTGGGTTGTCCGGCCACCAGCGAGTGTCCAGGCCGCTGTACTGACGCCTGTCATGGGGTGGTCTCCAGCGTCCAGTGCCTCGGGGGGAACTGCACCTGTTGCCTCGGTCAGTTATTAATGTCACTCACGTTATATAGTTGTTTGTAAACACAGAGATAATGAAATGCCTGTGATGTTCCCTTACCTAAGCCAACTTAACTTAACTTAACGTAAACAAATCTAAACTCAACTAACCTCACCGTGTTCCCCACACACCTCAAACCCTCATTGGTGAACAGACTGCAAAGTGACCCCGAGCTGCGAGAAGCAACACGGCAGCTGCAAGGCAGATTGTTCTTGTGGTGAGATGGAGTTACCTGGGGGTTGTACAGGGAACGGCTGCAAGTGCTGTGTGCCTCAAGTGCCACAATGCTCAAGTGGGGACCAGTGTTCAGGAACGTGCTTATACGGGCCCTTGTGCACAGGAGATCTGCGCCCAGGGTCGTGCACAGGAGAAGTCGGCTGTGCATGTTGTAGGGGTGAGTGTGTTAATCAAAAACTTTCATCATGTACAATTATTTCCCCTCTCTTTCTCTAGTGGATAACAATCACTGATGAGACACAAATAACACACGTATGCTATGAAAAGCGCATATTTATATTACTACAAACTCCTGACCTATAGCTATCAATTGTTGTACTCGAGTTCACTTACGGACTTTAACTGATATTCATTTTCATTTCCACACAGCGAAGTAAACTTGATGTGAGAGGTTGAAATGTGTAAAGGTGCCTCCCTGCTTAATCATGTGGACTCTAGTCGTAATAAGCCCCAGTCTTGATGGGCCCCAGTATTGATGGGCTCCAGACTTGATGGGCCCCAGTCTTGATTAGCCCTAGTCTTGACGGACCCCAGGATTTATAAGCCTCAGTCATCTTAAAAGGCAAGAGTCTGAGTAGGTCCCAATCTGGATTTGGCATCAGTCTTAATATGTTCCAGTCTTAATAGGTGCCAGTCGTAATTATTAGGTTCAGTCTTTATAGGTCTAAGTCTTCTCCGCTCTTAATAAGCCCCAAACAAAATAAGCTCAACTTAATCTGATTTAACAACTAAGACTGAATCATAATCGACATGGAAACTAACCTAAATTCCTCTCAAAACAAATATGCATAATTCTAATGACTATATATGTTAGGTTAGGTTAGGTTAGGGTTATTTGACCGCTATTTTTTTCTTCAAAGATTGGAAGATTAAACTACCTCGCCCACATACAAATGGTAACGTCAAGTAAGAGATGATGATGTAACTGTGAGACTTTGAACACAATATTTATCTTTAGGGGAGAAAATTTTCTCTTTGGAACCTTTAAGAATCCAGGTTGTATTCTCATCTCTCCCGACTTATACTTTAATACTTAAGGCTGTCAGCTGATGTATGAGGTTCACTGTCCAGAAATAAGTAATTTATATGCACTTTATTGACGTATAAAATATCTATATATACTGTAGTAACAAAAAAGGAAAATTTATCTTCACACTTTGTATAGTTGTTTGATTTTATGACTGATTCTTTACTACAGTATATATAAAATTTTTGTCATTTCCCATTTCTGATTCATATCTATGAATGTGAGTGAAAATAAGTTATATACACCCACATATATGGGATACAGCTATATATATATATATATATATATATATATATATATATATATATATATATATATATATATATATATATATATATATATATATATATATATATATATATATATATATATATGTATATATATTCACCGTCATAAGTTCCTCGACAGAGTGCAAAGCGAAGACGACCTGCCAAAACTTTGATGGAAGCTGCAAGTCTGTGTGCAAGGACACGGAGGTCGTGATCAAGGACGGCTGTGACGGGGACGGCTGTTTCTGCTGTGCCCCGGATTTCGCGGGTTGTCCGGCCACCAGCGAGTGTCCAGGCCGCTGTACTGACACCTGTCAAGGGGTGGTCTCCAGCGTCCAGTGCCTCGGGGGGAACTGCACCTGTTGCCTCGGTCAGTTATTAATGTCACTCACGTTATATAGTTGTTTGTAAACTCAGAGATAATGAAATGCCTGTGATGTTCCCTTACCTAAGCCATCTTCACTTAACTTAACGTAAACAAATCTAAACTCAACTAACATCATCGTCACCCCCCACACACCTCAAACCCTCATTGGTCAACAGACTGCAAAATGACCCCGAGCTGCGAGAAGCAACACGGCAGCTGCAAGGCAGATTGTTCCTGTGGAGAATTGGAGTTGCCTGGAGGATGTACAGGGAACGGCTGCAAGTGCTGTGTGCCTCAAGTGCCACAATGTTCAAATGGGAACCAGTGTTCAGGAAAGTGTTTGTACGGTCCCTTGTGCACAGGAGAGCTTAGCCCTGGACCGTGCTCAGGAGAAGCCGGCTGCGCATGTTGCGCGGGTGAGTGTGTTAATCAAGAACTTTTATCATCCATTATTATTTTTCTCTCCCTCTCTGTTTCTTTGTCTGTGATGCTATATATACAAACACACCCTCATCAACAAGGACTCTAATAATTTTTAACAATAATTTCACATTACGGGCACGACACATTTGTAGTACCACGAAGTACACAAATATAATTAATTGCACTCCAATTCACTTATACTCTCTGACACTATTTTTTTCTTTTTCTCAGAAATCAAAATTCCACACAGCGGGGTGAGCCTGATGTGAGAGACCCAGGTGTGTGGAGGTGTTGCAGTGCCTAGTCAAATGGTTCCTAGTCGCACCAACCCAAGCTGACTAGGTTAGGTTAGGTTAGGTTTGTTTGGGTTAGGTTAAGTTAGGTTAGGTTAGGTCAGGGTTGGGGCTCATTTGACCTATATATGGGGCAAAACTGTGATGTACATCGTTTGACCGGTCATACACACACTGCAGTTACAGATGTCAGGTAAATATACTATCATGAATAAACGCAATTCTCCTATGTACTGTGTTGTGTTCTCAGAGAGTGAGGCATAACACTCCCTTACCTTGTGACGGAAATACTCTAGAAACGTGTTTTCGTGATCAAAGTTGGTTGGATCACCTCAGTCATTGTTTATATATGAGGCCCCACGGTACCAGCTGGGTAGTACAGTATTATGCCATTAAAACATTGGAGACTTGAGGGAGTGTTGATAGAAAAGGAGCAGTTAAATAAAGGGAGTATTTATATAAGGAGGAAAGATAGCATTCATATTGTGGTGATTTTTATTACTACATATTTGATCATAGTGATTCTCGGAAATATAATAAAATGTTTTATTGTCTGAGCTTATAAATTACATGTTATTTTATCATATTTCAGTGTAGTAGCCTTAGCTGTGCAATTTTTTTCTTCAAGGTATTTTGTTTACTGTTTTTTTTAAAGTCATTTAAGTTCTTCACAGATGAATAGTTTTTCATTTGGTCAACTTTCAGTTGTTTTCAGTATTCACGTTTGAATTTTTCCCTTATGTTTAGTTATACAGGTTTGCCAATCATGCATTTGTTTCTTTTTTTTAACCGAGTTTTTCTCGTCACTTATTTACGATTATTTTTTCACGGATTCCTGTGTTTAACCTTTGTGTTGTATGTATAGGGCTGGCTGGCTCTCTGGGGCCACCAGTAGGACATGTTACAACACCTTAACAATACTTTACATGATAACAACATCCCGGTAACCTAGTCCAGATGGCGTCCCTTCACAATGTTTTTATAAGGCCTGTATACACCACAACCACCAATAAAGCACTCACATTATACTGACTGATTCATTTATCCTTTTGAACTATGTGTTATATAGTTCACTTAGTCAAAAGATGGATAATAATTATGGTACGAACAATTTAGGTCAAACATAAACGGTGTCTAGGATGGCAAACTGTGGTATTTTGGCGGTGGGTATCGATTATATCTACACTGTGACCTTTTTTCTTGGAAGAGATAACTGAAATTATCTCTTATGATATGTAAAACGAGATAACTCAAGAATGTCCTCCACCCAAGGTAGTACAGTACATGTAACCTTCATGTTATTTTAGGTATTATCGTCCCTGAGTAGTGTGGATGGATTTGATGGCCCGACGTACGGTACCATGTTGGAGGAGTGACGCCAACACCACAGCTGACCCCGAAAGGAAAAACAAACCTTACCCAAACGTAACGCAAATGAACAAAATTAAATGCAAACTAATACCCTAACCTAATTTAACGTGTCTCAGCGATCAAAGACAGTTTTTAGTTAAATATCATACATAAAGTGGTGTAGGGATCGCGGGATATTTGATAACACATACTTTGATAAAAAATAACAATAATAATAAAAACTTATATTAATCCCGTAATTCAACAGGAATATTAAAGAAAAACTTGAAAAAATTCTCTTGTTTATTTCCGTACAATAAAAAACAAGGCCATTAAGTGAGCACTGTACACTCGCTAACAAAAGTCCTGTCGGCTCTTCATGAACCCAGAGATTCAGAGACCTGTGAATCTCTGGGTTCATGAAGAGGCAGGTGAGACGACAGTACTTTTGTTAGCGATGAACAGTAGCTAAAAAAAAGTATCTTTGCATACTCTGTGTGAAACAATATGAGGCCACGGACTATAGGTATTGGGATATTCGTGTTGTCTCCTTATATTATGTGACAGTAATCCCTTAACCGTTTATTTTATTCCTATATGTGAGCTCACCCCCTGTGTTGGATGTTGAATGGCGGTGGGCGAAGACACGCATACCAACCCTCCCGAGACATCAGACCCCACCCTGTCAGATACTTCTTTTAGCTACTAACAATATGCAAACAATAATACTCTATAAATATATGCTGTATGTATGTATGTATGTCTCCCACCAGCATTACTATATTTTGGGGTCAGATAATATAATTAGCTGGTAGTGCAAGTAACAACTAGTGTAATTACCTTATAGTGCCGTACAACTCATAAGTTACGTAAATAACATGGATAACACTTCATATCTTATGTAATCAGCCTGTAATGCAGATTATAACAAATGTAATAAATCAGTAGTACAAGTCATGTGTGGTGTAATTCAGTATAATTTGGAGTTATGGTTAAAGTAATCAATGAGTAATCTAGATCATACATAATGTAATTAACGAGAGTTACAGGTAATAACTAAAATAATTAACTGATATATTTAACTTAAAATTTAAGTTGTAATTAATTAAATATAATTGAAATTTTGTCCTAACTAACGTAATTAAATATAAATAGCTAAAGTAATTAACTAGTACTTACTAAAATTATTAAGTAATTCCATAAGTAATAATTAAAAACATTGATTAGTGATATAGATACTTAACTAATATACTTAACAAGTTATGTAAGGAAAAATATCCTATTTTCAACACCAGCAATGAGACAAGACCTTAACAATTTAGTGAAAGAAGTAATACAAAAAATAGTAAACATGAAGGATGAAAATACAAAAACAAAAACAATTCCCATTTGCCTGAAACACTATGAGAGGCAGTTTGGATACAGCACACTGGAACACCAAACAATAAACACTACCACCCTTCACTCGCCTTACTATTAAGCTACGTACCCATTCACATCAGGATCTGCTTGGGGTACCCCGGGTGTAAAGGGGGACATACGCCCAGATAATTATATAAGTACACGGTAATATAATCAACTACAATATATATGATGCTGCCTGTTGGTAATAGCGGCTTTTTTTGTTCCTAATAATAATCAGTTGCAATAAAAGTTTACCTCAGTTTCCCCGTTACGGAGATCTTTGGCAGCTTTTGTCTAATATGTTCTGAAAAACAAAACGAGACAGACATGAGTCAATAAACATGAACGAAAAGAAGGTTGAAGAAGCTAAGAGTATAACTGACTATGTTCCATGACTCACACTTGATGGGCTATACCAGTATACAGTATCTAGTTATATGGTATATCACACTGTAGAGGTTTCTAAGAGTAGAGTATATCTGGTATGTGATATATCTAAACAGATGTTATAAGAGTACAAATACATCTGGTTTATGGTATATCTGGGATAGGTACAAAATGAGTGGTGGTATTGTTGACTGCAGAAAGCAAATTCACTGTAAATAATGATAAGATTACCTGATAGTGTACTAAAAGAGATGGTGACTGTTCAGGGCTGAGAGAGTATACACCCTCACTACACCCTTACCACACCCTCACTACACGAGAAAAGATCGGACTAATACAGTCGGATACCAGCGAGCTAACTGATAACGACGGAGAAATGAGCAAAAATCTGAATCAATATTTTTCAACAGTTTTCACTACCGAAAACTTTAAACATGATACCCGAGGCACCGACTCTATACAGAGATAGTGAAGAAGATAAATTAAGCGAGATAGTAGTGACTAGTAACGATGTTAGTAAGCAAATAGACAAACTAAAGCCTAATAAGTCACCATGTCCCAATGAGATATTTGCCAGAGTATTAAAGGAATGTAAGGAAGAGCTTAGTATGCCCTTAGCAAAGTTGTTTAAACTGTCCTTAAAAACAGGTGTAGTACCAGAATCCTGGAGGATAGCGAATGTAATACAGATTTTCAAGAAGGGAGATAGATCACTATCCTCTAACTACTGCCCAATCAGTCTAACATCAATTGTAGGCAAATTACTGGAAGCAACCATTTCAAACTCTATTCGAAATCACCTGGAGAAGCACAAGTTGATCAATGATTCCCAGCATGGCTTCACAAGCGGGCGTTCATGTTGAACTGATATATTAACATTCTTTTCACTTAATACTAATACGAAAGGTGGAGGCTCGTGGCATTAAAATAGATATTCGAAAATGGATTAGGGCGTGGTTACAGGACAGGAAACAGCGAGTGAGCATTGACGGCACTAAATCCGATTGGAGCAGCGTCACTAGTGGAGTTCCGCAAGGTTCAGTTCTTGGACCATTATTATTTATTATATACATAAACGACATAGATATCGGCGTAGACAGCAACATAAGTAAATTTGCTGATGACACTAAAATAGGACGTGTAATTAAATCTGACGATGACTCCGCAAAATTACAGGAAGATCTAAACAAATTTTTCGATTGGTCTGAAAAATGGCAGATGAAATTCATAGTGGACAAATGCAAAGTACTCAGTATAGGAGATGTAAGCAGGGAAACCAGATACCAGATGAACAACAATGTTATTGAGAAACCCGACTGCGAGAAAGAATTAGGAGTAATGATAAGTAGGAATCTTAAGCCAAGTAAACAATGTGTATTTGCTCGAAACAAGGCTAATAAAGTACTAGGGTTCATACAAAGGAGTGTTAGTTACAAGACTAGCGAGGTCATCCTTAAACTATATCTTGTGCTTGTGAGACCTCACTTGGATTACGCAGTTCAATTCTGGTCGCCGTATTACAGAATGGATATAGAATACTTGGAAAGAATTCAGAGGCAAATGACAAGACTAATCCGGGGCATTAGGAACCTTGAGTACAGAGACAGGTTAAAGCATCTTAATTTGCACTCCTTCGAGAGACGTACTGTAGAATGAGGTACGAAATGATAGAGGTGTATAAATGGAAGGCAGGGCTGAACAAAGGGGACATTACCAAGGTACTCAAACTATCCAACCAGGAGCGAACTCGTAACAATGGTTTTTAAATTAGACAAATTTAGATTTAGGCGCAAAAAAAGGTAAACTTTGGTTTGGAAATATAGTGGAAGAGTGGAACAAATTACGAAATCTCACCATTAACTCGAATACGCTGGATAGCTTCAAACATGGGTTGGGTGAGCGATAGGGGTTGGGTGTAAGTGGGACTGCCCAGTATGGGCCAATAGGCCAGCTGCAGTTTCCTCCATTCTTATGTTCTTATGTTCTCTCTACACCCTCAAACAAACCCTACACCCTCACCATACCATCACTACACCCTCACCCCCACACTACACCTTCACCACATTCTCTCTACACCCTCACACCCACACTACACCCTCACACCCTCACTACACCTTCAAATACACACTACACCCTCACACCCACACTACACCCTCACACCCACACTTCACCCTCACTACACCCTCACACCCACACTACACCCTCACTACACCTTCAAATACACACTACACCCTCACACCCACACTACACCCTCACCACACCCTCACATCCACACTACACTTTTAACCAGGCCAACCAACTCACCTCTCACATACACCGGTTCTTAATCTTGTCCCTGTAGATATACCCGGCTATACCCACCGCCAGCAACACCACTCCCACCGAGACACCAACACCGACTCCCACCGCTACCGGATCCACCCCAGTAGTCATTGTGTCGAGTATAGCGGCCTCACCAAACCCGGCGTCGTTGTTTGCCTTAAATGAAATGTGTTTTTTTAGTCAATTATATTCCTTCAATTCATCTTCTTTATATTTTTAATGCATATCTTTTTCTTAACTGTGTGTGTGTGTGTGTGTGTGTGTGTGTGTGTGTGTGTGTGTGTAATGTCAAAATCTTAAACGGTGAACTTACTCATAAGCAAACAAAGTCAGATGTGTTCGGGGATATAAATTTATGTATCTTTTGCCAACAATATTAAACAAGAAACGCTCAACAATCCCCCCCCCCCCTCCAATACATCAGTAAACAAAACGTACCTTCAATTTAAATGTGTATTTACTGTGTTGAGACAGTCTTGTAGCTGTGTAATATCGCTTTCCGCTACTGAAGTTCTGTATCTTGTCATCGTAGATCAGTTGGTACAAGGTGATAGCACAGATTGATTCTGGCTTTGTCCACTTCATTGTGATGCTGTGTTTATCTGCACTCGTCTGCTTTAAACTTGGCTTTCCTGGTTCTGTTGAGAGATAGAGAATAATAGTGGAAGGGGAGCGGCGAGGTGGTCGTGTGAGTACAACCTGGAGCCCCTTGGTCACGAGGGTCGTTGGTTCACTCCCGAGAACCTGTAACCCATCCCAAAACACAACAGCCATTACCACCACAACCAACAACACTACCATCACCACCACCAACACTACCACCAACACCAACAACAACACTACCATCACCACCATCAACACTACCATCACCAACAACACTACCATCACCACCATCAACACTACCATCACCACCACCAACATTACCACCACCAACAACAAACACACTACCAATAACAACATTACCACCACCAACAATATTACCACCGCCACCACCATCAACAACAACAACACTACCATCACCACCAAAACTGCCAGGACACCACCACCAACACTACTACTACCACTTTGCTGTCACTCGGAATCGAGTATGACGATCATCCAGCTATGATAATCATATATGAGTTATTAAAGATGTCACCTTCGTTGGTAAGCTCTGAGGTGACTAGAGAGGCCGATACGGGGTCGGCAGGGGCGTCCACAGATGTTCCACGTTTGGAGGCTGCATCTAGTGAGGGAGGGGCAGCGGAAATGTCTTTCCCGCGCTGGCGCTTGTCTGCCTCGTTATGCAGTCGGGCTAACTCGAAAGTATTGACACCTTCTCGTGTGGTGCTTATCCAATCGTTGCTGTGTGGAGTGATCGTCTCCCAGGTGAAGGGGTCGATTTGGCACTTTTTCAGATTTGTCTTAATACTATCCCTATACCTTTTCAGTTGCTCGCCAGCGTTACGTTTACTATTCGTTAGATGACTGTAAAGTAGCTGTTTTCACAGTCTACTGTTGTCCTTTCAAGTAACATGGTCAGTCCAGGGTAGTTGTTCATGGATAATGGTAGCCTCGACGCTCCTACAGTTGGCGTCAGCGAGAATATTGGCATTTATCTGTTGTCTTCCCAGTGAACTCGGAGGATGGAACATAGACTACGTTGATGAAAGTGCCTTGAGGTGCCTCCTGTAGTTAATTTATGTCTCACTGCCATACAGCAGGGTGGGGAGGACCACTGCTCGATACACGTACACCTGTGTAGATAATTTCAGCTCCCTACAGCTAGAGACACGAGTACGGAGTTTGCCAAAGGCTCGAAATGCTCATCTGATACGATGTTGAATCTCTTCATCGATATCTGCTGTGGTGGACAGGTGGGAGCCGAGATACTGAAAGTGGGTAACATTAGAGAGAGTAGTACCGTTAAGCTGGAGGGATGGTGGAGGTGTGCCTGAACCAGGGGCAGGATGAAAGAGAATGTGAGTCTTGTGTGCATTCACCTCAAGGCAGAAGTGTGCATAGCATCTATGTAGGTGTTCAGGATCTCCTGCAAGTCGCGTTCAGTGTATGCGATGAGGGTGAGGTCGTCTGCTTACTGAAGTTCAGTTATGAAAGCAGCTGATACCTTTGTTCCTACCTGGAGTCGTCTTAGGTTGTAAAGTCCCTTCATCCGGCACTGGATGTCCACCCCGCCAACTAAATTGGCACTGGCACGAGTAAGGAAGGCTGCCAAGAAAATGGAAAAGAGAGTTGGTGCCAGAACACAATCTTGTTTTACCTCCGTCTGGGTGCCATTGTGTAGGACACTGCCGTTCATGCTATCGTGGAGTTGCCTCACAATTGCAATGAATTTTGGCGGGCAGCCAAAACGACTGAGGATCCGCCAGAGGGCTTCCCTGTTGACCGAGTTGGGCCTTAGTTACGATGCGGTTCTCTGCACTTTTCCTGCATCTGGTGGGCAGCAAAGATCCAGTCAGGGGTGCCACGCGATGGTCTAAATCCACATTGAGATTCTGGGATTAGGTTAGCGGTCTTTCTTTCTATAAAATTCCGCTTGGCCCTACGAAGAATAACCTTACAACGATTCCTAGAAGTAATGAAAGAGTGGGTATTGGAGGACACAGTTTCATAACTTGATACGCCATATCTCTCTCCCTACATGCAAGGGAAAAGGAGACATCAAACCATGATTATAAAGTGAAAGTTTTGGTAGAAGATGGGATAAATGCACTCATACCACCCTGTATAACCCCAGCAATGCTGTCAGCACATACTGAGGGGTCCCGAGTGGAAAAGCAACATTCATCCCGAGGAATGTCGGAGAAGAATTCTCGCAAGGATTTCCAGCTTGCCCTCCGATAGTGCCATAGTTGGAGTTTAGAGAGGGGTGGGGAGGTGGTCGTGCCCAGTTTGATTTAATATAAATAAGATTGTGATCAGAAGACCCCAAGGGGGCAGAAATTGAGTATGAATAGTGTGAGGGGTTAGAGGTAAAACAAAGATCAAGAATGTTAGCAAGTTGATCATGTTGAACAGGAACGCGTGTAGGGTGTTTAATTATTTGTTCCAGATGATTAAGTAAGGAAAAAGAGAGCGCCTCAGCTCCACCTGGGTCATCCTTTGCAGACCCAAGCCAGTCTTTGTGATTTACATTGAAAATCCCTTGGTAGAGGATCTCGGTGTTGGGGTGTGTGGATAGCAACGGCTCATGGCAATAAGTGAGATAGACAAAGAGTTCCAAATAGTTGGTAGAGTTGGGCGAACAGTATAGGAAACAAGGAAAAATAGTCATAGAGATATTTTGAGGCTGATGACATCATAAAAGGAAGATTCAAGATCCGTGAGTCGAGCTATAAGGGTGTACGTGTGTTGCAGTAGGCGCATACACCTCCCTTAGAACGGAAAGAGGAATAAAGGTTGGAGCTGGAGACTTGAAAAGGTTTGGGTGAAGCTGCTTTGGTCAGTTGAAGTTCAGATAGTAGTTAGAGGTCGGGGGAAGAGGTTAACAGATGGTGCTCCACAGGAGGAAAATTGGATCTTAGGCCGCGAATGTTGGAAAAATAAAGAGTGAGAAAAGCTGATCCTCCAGCAACCGTGGTGGCGTCATTGAGGCCCCAGTAGTTTGATGATGATCAGGTCGGCCCTGGGGGTCCACAACCTTCCCAACCAGTGGGGCCCATTCGAGAAGGCCCCGCTTTAATATTATTATCAGCTGATATCATTGGAGAATAAAAGAATAGAAAGAACAGAACAGATCAAGAGTGGGAAAGGTTACATATGTTGTGTTGTCAATAGTAAGAGAGACAATTGAGACCCTGCAATTGTGTGTACGAGTAAAAGAGGCAGAAAGACAGATCAGCAACCTGGGACTTGGTCACAGTTTTTGTGATGCCATATGGCAGCAGGGTCTACCATTAGACAACACATTATGCTGCCAATATCTTCCCAGGCTTGTACTTACCACGCCCGTTGGTGTTATTAGAACTATGTCTTGGATTTGAGTAACTGGTATCGGTCCTGGTAACAACAGATACGTTGTATTGGGTGCATCCTTTCAGACCGGTGATGGTGTAATTAGATATTTCAGGTTTCTCGTCAGTTTGTGTTGTATTGACGAATCCAATAGCACTCCATGTAATTCTGTAATACACTGTACAGTTCCCGGGTCTCTCTGGCGGCGTCCACGATGCAAGCAGTATTGTTATGTTACCTTCTACACTATTCACAGCCATATTTTTCACAGCGTTCGAGTCTGGCGGAACAAGAAAAGTTATCTTATAAATTTGTATGTTTATATGGAACTAACAAAGAACGTTTTATATCCTGGTAAATATAAAGGCAATGCTGATAATTTTTCTATAATAATTTGTCTGATTTCTTGTAAAGCTAAACTAGAAAAATATGTTGTATCAAACACCTCGTATATAAATCAACACGAAGTGAGCATGTTATCTTGGTTGACTCAAATTACTAATTACCAGTGAATATATACCTACACTGTGTACACTGTTTATATACCTACACTGTGTATACTGTTTATATACCTACACTGTGTACACTGTTTATATACCTACACTGTGTATACTGTTTGTATACTTACACTGTGTATACTGTTTATATACCTACACTGTGTATATTGTTTATATACCTTCACTGTGTATATTGTTTATATACCTACACTGTGTATACTGTTTATATACCTACACTGTGTATACTGTTTATATACCTTCACTGTGTATACTGTTTATATACCTACACTGTGTATACTGTTTATATACCTTCACTGTGTATACTGTTTATATACCTTCACTGTGTATATTGTTTATATACCTACACTGTGTATATTGTTTATATACCTTCACTGTGTATACTGTTTATATACCTACACTGTGTATACTGTTTATATACCTACACTGTGTATACTGTTTATATACCTACACTGTGTATACTGTTTATATACCTTCACTGTGTATATTGTTTATATACCTACACTGTGTATACTGTTTATATACCTACACTGTGTATACTGTTTATATACCTACACTGTGTATACTGTTTATATACCTTCACTGTGTATACTGTTTATATACCTACACTGTGTATACTGTTTATATACCTTCACTGTGTATATTGTTTATATACCTTCACTGTGTATATTGTTTATATACCTACACTGTGTATACTGTTTATATACCTACACTGTGTATATTGTTTATATACCTTCACTGTGTATATTGTTTATATACCTACACTGTGTATACTGTTTATATACCTACACTGTGTATACTGTTTATATACCTTCACTGTGTATACTGTTTATATACCTACACTGTGTATACTGTTTATATACCTTCACTGTGTATATTGTTTATATACCTACACTGTGTATACTGTTTATATACCTTCACTACACTGTGTATACTGTTTATATACCTTCACTGTGTATATTGTTTATATACCTTCACTGTGTATACTGTTTATATACCTACACTGTGTATACTGTTTATATACCTACACTGTGTATACTGTTTATATACCTACACTGTGTATACTGTTTATATACCTTCACTGTATATTGTTTATATACCTACACTGTGTATACTGTTTATATACCTTCACTGTGTATATTGTTTATATACCTACACTGTGTATATTGTTTATATACCTACACTGTGTATACTGTTTATATACCTTCACTGTGTATATGTTTATATACCTACACTGTGTATACTGTTTATATACCTACACTGTGTATACTGTTTATATACCTACACTGTGTATACTGTTTATATACACTACACTGTGTATACTGTTTATATACCTTCACTGTGTATACTGTTTATATACTTCACTGTGTATATTGTTTATATACCTACACTGTGTATATTGTTTATATACCTTCACTGTGTATACTGTTTATATACCTACACTGTGTATACTGTTTATATACCTACACTGTGTATACTGTTTATATACCTACACTGTGTATACTGTTTATATACCTTCACTGTGTATATTGTTTATATACCTACACTGTGTATACTGTTTATATACCTACACTGTGTATACTGTTTATATACCTTCACTGTGTATTTTGTTTATATACCTTCACTGTGTATACTGTTTATATACCTTCACTGTGTATATTGTTTATATACCTTCACTGTGTATACTGTTTATATACCTTCACTGTGTATACTGTTTATATACCTACACTGTGTATATTGTTTATATACCTTCACTGTGTATATTGTTTATATACCTTCACTGTGTATACTGTTTATATACCTACACTGTGTATATTGTTTATATACCTTCACTGTGTATATTGTTTATATACCTACACTGTGTATATTGTTTATATACCTTCACTGTGTATACTGTTTATATACCTTCACTGTGTATACTGTTTATATACCTACACTGTGTATACTGTTTATATACCTTCACTGTGTATACTGTTTATATACCTTCACTGTGTATATTGTTTATATACCTACACTGTGTATACTGTTTATATACCTTCACTGTGTATTTTGTTTATATACCTTCACTGTGTATACTGTTTATATACCTTCACTGTGTATATTGTTTATATACCTTCACTGTGTATATTGTTTATATACCTACACTGTGTATACTGTTTATATACCTACACTGTGTATACTGTTTATATACCTACACTGTGTATACTGTTTATATACCTTCACTGTGTATACTGTTTATATACCTTCACTGTGTATACTGTTTATATACCTTCACTGTGTATATTGTTTATATACCTTCACTGTGTATATTGTTTATATACCTACACTGTGTATACTGTTTATATACCTTCACTGTGTATACTGTTTATATACCTACACTGTGTATACTGTTTATATACCTTCACTGTGTATACTGTTTATATACACACTGTGTATACTGTTTATATACCTTCACTGTGTATATTGTTTTATATACCTACACTGTATATTTTATATACCTTCTGTGTATATTGTTTATATACACTTCACTGTGTATACTATTTTATATGCCTACACTGTATATTGTTTATACCTTCACTGTGTATATATTGTTTATATACCTACACTGTGTATACTGTTTATATATACCTTCTCTGTGTACATGTTTATATACCTACACTGTGTATACTGTTTATATACCTTCACTGTGTATATTGTTTTATATACTATTCACCATGTATACTGTTTATATACCTACACTGTGTATATTGTTTATATACTATTCACTGTGTATATTGTTTTATATACACTGTGTATACTGTTTATATACCTTCACTGTGTATATTGTTTTATATACCTTCACTGTGTATATTGTTTATATACCTACACTGTGTATACTGTTTATATACCTTCACTGTGTATATTGTTTATATACCTTCACTGTGTATACTGTTTATATACCTACACTGTGTATACTGTTTATATACCTACACTGTGTATACTGTTTATATACCTTCACTGTGTATATTGTTTATATACCTTCACTGTGTATACTGTTTATATACCTACACTGTGTATACTGTTTATATACCTTCACTGTGTATATTGTTTATGTACCTTCACTGTGTATATTGTTTATATACCTTCACTGTGTATACTGTTTATATACCTACACTGTGTATACTGTTTATATACCTTCACTGTGTATACTGTTTATATACCTACACTGTGTATGTGTTTATATACCTACACTGTATATATATTAATATACCTTCACTATGTATACTGTTTATATACCTTCACTGTGTATATTGTTTTATATACCTTCACTGTATACATTTATATACCTACACTGTGTATACTGTTTTATACCTACACTGTATACTGTTTATATACCTACATTGTATACTGTTTATATACCTTCACTGTGTATACTGTTTTATATACCTACACTGTATATACTGTTTATATACCTTCTGTGTATACTGTTTATATACCTACACTGTGTGTGCTATATACCTTCTGTGTATACTGTTTATATACCTACACTGTGTATACTGTTTATATACCTTCACTGTGTATATTGTTTATATACCTACACTGTGTATACTGTTTATATACCTTCACTGTGTATACTGTTTATATACCTACACTGTGTATACTGTTTATATACCTACACTGTGTATACTGTTTATATACCTACACTGTGTATACTGTTTATATACCTTCACTGTGTATACTGTTTATATACCTTCACTGTGTATACTGTTTATATACCTTCACTGTGTATACTGTTTATATACCTTCACTGTGTATATTGTTTTATATACCTACACTATGTATACTGTTTATATACCTTCACTGTGTATATTGTTTATATACCTTCACTGTGTATACTGTTTATATACCTTCACTGTGTATACTGTTTATATACCTTCATATGTATATTGTTTATATACCTACACTGTATACTGTTTATATACCTTCACTGTATACTGTTTATACCTACACGTAACATATTGTTTATCTTACCTACACTGTGTATACTGTTTATATACCTTCACTGTGTATACTGTTTATATACCTTCACTGTGTATACTGTTTATATACCTTCACTGTGTATACTGTTTATATACCTTCACTGTGTATATTGTTTATATACCTTCACTGTGTATATTGTTTATATACCTACACTGTGTATACTGTTTATATACCTTCACTGTGTATACTGTTTATATACCTACACTGTGTATACTGTTTATATACCTACACTGTGTATGCTGTTTATATACCTACACTGTGTATACTGTTTATATACCTTCACTGTGTATATTGTTTATATACCTACACTATGTATACTGTTTATATACCTACACTGTGTATATTGTTTATATACCTTCACTGTGTATATTGTTTATATACCTTCACTGTGTATACTGTTTATATACCTACACTGTGTATATTGTTTATATACCTTCACTGTGTATTTTGTTTATATACCTTCACTGTGTATATTGTTTATATACCTACACTGTGTATACTGTTTATATACCTACACTGTGTATATTGTTTATATACCTACACTGTGTATACTGTTTATATACCTTCACTGTGTATACTGTTTATATACCTACACTGTGTATACTGTTTATATACCTTCACTGTATATATTGTTTATATACCTACACTGTGTATATTGTTTATATACCTACACTGTGTATACTGTTTATATACCTACACTGTGTATACTGTTTATATACCTACACTGTGTATACTGTTTATATACCTACACTGTGTATATTGTTTATATACCTACACTGTGTATACTGTTTATATACCTACACTGTGTATACTGTTTATATACCTACACTGTGTATATTGTTTATATACCTTCACTGTGTATACTGTTTATATACCTACACTGTGTATACTGTTTATATACCTTCACTGTGTATATTGTTTATATACCTTCACTGTGTATATTGTATACCTGCATTGTTTATACTGTTTATATACCTTCACTGTGTATACTGTTTATATACCTACACTGTGTATAATAATATATAATTAATTGTGTATATTGTTTATATACCTACACTGTATACTGTTTATATACTCCACACTGTGTATATTAGTTTTATATAATTACCGTGTATACCGTTTATATAACTACACTGTGTGTATTGTTTATATAATTCTTCACTGTGTATATCATTTATATATACCTACACTGTGTATACTGTTTATATACCTACACTGTGTATACTGTTTATATACCTTCACTGTGTATACTGTTTATATACCTACACTGTGTATACTGTTTATATACCTACACTGTGTATACTGTTTATATACCTACACTGTGTATACTGTTTATATACCTTCACTGTGTATACTGTTTATATACCTTCACTGTGTATATTGTTTATATACCTTCACTGTGTATACTGTTTATATACCTTCACTGTGTATACTGTTTATATACCTTCACTGTGTATATTGTTTATATACCTACACTGTGTATATTGTTTATATACCTTCACTGTGTATACTGTTTATATACCTACACTGTGTATACTGTTTATATACCTACACTGTGTATACTGTTTATATACCTACACTGTGTATACTGTTTATATACCTACACTGTGTATACTGTTTATATACCTTCACTGTGTATACTGTTTATATACCTTCACTGTGTATACTGTTTATATACCTTCACTGTGTATATTGTTTATATACCTTCACTGTGTATATTGTTTATATACCTACACTGTGTATACTGTTTATATACCTTCACTGTGTATACTGTTTATATACCTACACTGTGTATACTGTTTATATACCTTCACTGTGTATATTGTTTATATACCTTCACTGTGTATACTGTTTATATACCTACACTGTGTATACTGTTTATATACCTTCACTGTGTATATTGTTTATGTACCTTCACTGTGTATATTGTTTATATACCTTCACTGTGTATATTGTTTATATACCTACACTGTGTATACTGTTTATATACCTTCACTGTGTATACTGTTTATATACCTACACTGTGTATACTGTTTATATACCTTCACTGTGTATATTGTTTATATACCTTCACTGTGTACATTGTTTATATACCTACACTGTATATATTGTTTATATACCTTCACTGTGTATACTGTTTATATACCTACACTGTGTATACTGTTTATATACCTTCACTGTGTATACTGTTTATATACCTTCACTGTGTATATTGTTTATATACCTACACTGTGTATACTGTTTATATACCTTCACTGTGTATTTTGTTTATATACCTTCACTGTGTATACTGTTTATATACCTACACTGTGTATACTGTTTATATACCTTCACTGTGTATACTGTTTATATACCTACACTGTGTAT